GAAATGCTGCCACGAGCCCACACGAACCTACGCGAGGCCTATACACTTATAAAGAGTGTCAGCAAGACCACCTTCTCGGCACCGGAACGTCGAATCATCTCATGGATGCGCCTACTTGACGCGCGCGCTGTGTCAACAGCAGGTGGAGAAGGTCTCTTCTTGGCTGACACAGACGAGACCATCTTTGATGCGTCGCCTGCGGCCAATGCTGGGTCAGATCCGGACACGTCGGACACCGAAATCGAAGAAATTCTGTTTGATGTGTTATATCATCCCGGTATCATGTTCTATCAGAAGGTGCAGTCCTTCGCCGGTCGCATCACACGCATTGACCCGTGGCGTCGTACACGCGGCACGGTTCAGGATGAGACTGAAGTGATGGCCATCGCAGCACAGATCTCCAAGGATCTACATGCACTTTACGGCCAGCGACCAGCATTGATGGATCATGCGGTTGCTGGAAACCTCACCGAAAAACACATAGCCAAAAACTTAGCAGGCGCACTCACACGGAGTTTCCGGACCTATCTCGCAAACTACTACGCATCGTTCATACACTTACATCGCGTTGCATACGTGCAGTACCCAAAAACCAAGGATGTTATAAATGCCATAATGAACATAAAGCGTCTGACACATCTGATGGCGCAGGCAGACGAGTCGCTGCCGGTCAATGTCTTGTGGCCACTGATGATGTGGGGGTGCGAAGAAGACGACTTGGAGGAACGAAGATGGATCATTGAAGCCATTCGCAGTCTCGAGAGCATCGCTACCAACGCAAAAGCTACCGCAGACCTGTTGGAAGAAGTGCAACGACGGCAGGATGAAGGTAAGCGAAGAGTCGACGTGCGTTTGGTCAGCCAGGAGTATTTCGCATCATCAAACCATTTCGCAATCGTGTAATGTTCAGTCAAGCTCCAACACGCACGTTGAAGCTCACCAGAAACATGCGGCCGAGTGTCAGTCGCAATTCTGTTAGTTTTGTGCAGGTATCCAGGGACGATCTCGGCGCGAGAGAATACGGGAAGCCTTGCCATTTACAGGTCAATGCGCGTATACCTGTCATTTCCGGCTAAGACCAGTACCAATCAAACTGCGCATTACGTTCCAAGCTTTCCTCCATCGGAAGATGCCCCGCAAGCTTCCAGACTTAGGACGTTGCATGCGAAGCGGGCGGGGTAAGTGACCCGAAAGGAAAACCGACAAGATGGGATCGATTTCCCGGCTCAACGTAGCAACTCCATCGTTCACAGTCCTCGGGCCTCCGACCTCACCATGAGACAGAGAAGCGGATGGTTAGTCAAAGCCGCGGGATTGCCCGCATGTAGAACTTTGCTGATTCCTGAACAGCAAAGCTTGTCGTGAGCGTCACATCAAATGTACGGGCTCTTACAATCCAATGCCATCCAAACGCTTAATGTAGGAATTTATAGGCGTGAAGCTGCGTGACTCGGAAAAATGCAAATACTGCACCGAGCGCAAAAAGCCATGCATTCGCGGCAATGCTTTTCGCTTCCGACCTGTTACGGCGGTCAAGTTCAACGCCGGCGAAGACATAGGATCCGCTGAACAGTCCCTTGAGTTCCAAGTGGGACAGCAGTGGGTTGATATTCCAAGCTCATGTGCGTAGAAAACAATTCATAAATAGCGATAATCGCTGATGAAACGTGGTGTAGTGCACTTTGTTGAGCCGAACAAGGACAGCGGTGACGAAGAAGAGTACGAAGCTGGGCCGGAAAGCGAAGCGAATCCCGAAAGCACGCCCAACACTCTCGACGTTGCATCAAAAGCCCGCCGGCAAAACTCAAATTTGAACAGAGTGTCTAGCGAAAGCCAACTGGCGTCGACGTACGGTGACATAACCTCGTTCGTGGACCTTCCAACCTCGGAGTTCAACGACACTAGCGAGTTGCCTTCCATCCACGAGGTCCTGAACACTCAGGTCCCACCGTCTCTAATCGGTATCACGACCTGTACCAGTAATAGTGCGCCGCAAAGCATTCGCGCCGTGTCTTCAATAAGTCAAATAGTGAACACAAACTGGCAAGCAAGCCCCGGATCACTTCAACGTCTGTCACAGTCCCCGAGTCTATCGAAGAAGAGTCCTTTCGGATCGATCAACAATAATCACTCTCCTTATAACTCCACAGCATTCAGTCCTTCCTCAGCGCCAACACTCAGGTGGCCCGTGAACAACGCACACGAAGCCCGTCTCCTCCATCATTACCTCTTCTTTTGCACCTCGTGGATCGATGTGTGTGACTCACGGCGGCACTTTGCTACTGAGGTACCAAAACGCGCAGCCCACTTCCCCGTCATTCTCAATGGCATACTGGGTGTTGCTGCAAGACACTCCTGGCTGATGGGCAAGGCCGTAGAAGACGTGTCGCAGCCTTATGTAGATCAGTGCTTACAGGCGCTAATCGTAGCACTTGAGGACCCGCTGGCACATTGGGATGAGAACTTCCTCATAGCCGTTATCCTGCTTCGGCTTCACGAAGAGATGGGCGATGCCGACGAACACTGCCACCACCTCGTACGTTCTCTCGCCCTTGAGCTTGACTGTGTATTTTTCCTGACCACATGATGATCACAGGGTACCGCCCGTATACTAAACAGTATCTCCTCCTTCGCCGCAGACGGTGGCCTCCGCGAATCAGCATCCTGGGTTTCTCTCCGCCAACACATCTACGTCTCCCTCACAACCCAAAAACCCCTCAACCTAAGCCTCGACAACTACCGCCACTCAGCTGTCTTCAGCGAATTCGACGACGAAAGCTGGGCGAATCGCATCATATTCCTGTTCGCCGTCGTCCTGCAAACTGTCTTCGGAGGCACCAACAATGGCAGCGAAAACATCAGCCGCGAAACATGGAAAGAATTGAACGATGAAGTCGAGGAATGGGAGCGCACGAAGCCCTGGACTTTCTCTGCCTTTCACGTCGAACCCGATGCGGGCGACAAGTTTGAGGGAAGCTGGCCTGAACTGCTCTGTCCACAGGGCATCGTGGCAGTCGGACTACAGTACTACCATCTCTGCAAGATACTGCTCACGATATACTCGCCTAATGCATCATTAGTCGGGCTGGCAGGTGTTCGGGCTAGGAAATCTACCGACGCGGCTGTTCGCAAACATATGAGGATAACCATAGGGTATGGTGTGAGTAATAGTCATTGTGGTAATGCTATGTTCCAGGGTAGTCACATTTTGAGTGCGTGCGGAGCTTATATTATTGATCCAAGGGAGCAGCAGGCTTGTGTGGAGTATCTGGAACAGTTGCAGAGACTAATAGGGTGGAGGACGGATGGCGTCTTGAGGGATCTTCGAGAGCAATGGGCGTTTTGAGGTGACAACACAACGATTGAGATAAGGGCTTTGTCGGCGCCACGAAAACTGCAGATGCCCGAAGGGAAACACTTTAACGTCTCAATATTTCATTGCGAAGCAGCATTCTATAACGATGCTTCCAGCTCATCAAGACCTGACACCTGGTTCACAACCCATTTCCTCTTCTCCTCATCTATGTATCGTGGGTAAGGCCTACGGCAGTCCGCACTGCTCTCCGGGTATCCTCTCTTATGCGCAACGACGTACTTGGTGCCATTGATGCCACCCTTTCCGAAACCCCATTCTGTGACCGAGAGCTTGATCTGGAGGGCTGATGCTTCGTCGTGCTTGCCTGATTGGTAGAGATTGAACAAGTGTATGCAGGACTGATCTGTTAGCTTCCATACACGCAACACTTTGGCGATAGTACATACCTTGGGGTACAAGTTCGCGACACCAGTAATGGTGCCGATTCCACCCACACTCAGCGCGGGTACAAGCCAGTCGCTCTGACCGGCCAGCGCCACAAACTCCGACTTGTCGAACGCAGCACTAATCCTCGCAACCTTTGCGATGCCTCCGCACGTGAGCTTGACGGCTACAATGTTCTTGTGCTTGCCGAGGATATCCAGCATCTCGGAGTTGATGTCGAGGCCGGCTACGACGTTGGGGAAGTTGTACAGGACGATGGGGACGGGGGATGCGTCGGCTAGTTCCTGGAAATAGGCTACGATGGCATCTTGGTTCATGGAGAAGTGGAAGTAGGAGGGTACCAGTGCGAGGTAGTATGATGCGCCTGCTTCCTCTGCCTCGGTGGTCTGCTGTATCGCGTCGCGCGTGCAGCCTGCTACGCCTCCAATTGTGATGGGTAGGTCTCCGCGACCAAGGCGCTGTGCCGTCTTGCGAGCGGTTTGGACGAGTTGCGTCTTCTCAGCTGATGATAATGTTGCTGCTTCGCCATTTGTTCCTGCGATGACGATGCCGTGCAGGCCGTTGGAAATCAAGAACTCGAAATGCTTTTCTTGGACATCCCAATCGATCTCTTGCGTGGTGTCATTCTTGAACCAGGTCAATGAGGGGACATGAATTCCTGGTGGGAAGGAGTATGTTGTTGTGCCGTTTGCGGAAGGCATTTTGTGAGGATGTCAAGAGATGAGCAGATACAGAGGGGAACTGAATATGGAGGACATCTCTGCAGCAGAGCGAAACCGCCGCATTTTGGCATCCACGACTGCGCGACGCGTTCCGGTAGTACGATGGAGCATGCGAGAAGACGCGCTTCGGCGTGGAGACGTGTGGATGTTCCATCGGCTCTCAAGGCGCGCGATTCGCCGTCGGCTACGACCGCGACGGTGACGTTGGGCTGCCGACGCTCGCATCGCCAGCTTCGCGTGTCGGCTGCACTAGGCCCACGAGCTCCCACACCACGCCACCGAACCCACGCGACGAGGGTGCGCCATCTCTGGAGACTCCACTGGGGAAGGTCGTGGTCGGATGTGGCAACCTGCTTCTCCGTCCCGGAATGGCCTGGGTGTTTTGTGGGGAAGCGCGTTTGGTTCAAAAGAACGTGGGAGCCCCAGGTTTGGGATCGGCATCAAGACTACTGCAGAACTTTGCAGCTTCAACACCCGTCCGGTAACTTGAACATTGTTTGTTCTGGTGAATAGTCATCATGGGTGGTTTTGCTCGCGCCCCCGAAGACAGGCCAACGCCTCCGGAAGTTGTAAGTTCTTGTGCTGAGCGATGGTGAGATGATAAGGTGCTAATGTAGTCTATAGTACAACTGGAGGGTCTACATGGCCGCGCTCGTGATCTCAATGGGCGTTTTGGCTTATGGTTACGACTCTGCCTTTATCGGCACTACCATTGCCCAGGAGTCCTTCCAACGAGACTTTGGCATCAATGCATCGAACAAGAACGAGATCACCAGCAACATCACCTCCATATATTCGGCTGGAGGACTCGTAGGAGCGCTGCTTATGTACCCATTCCTTGAGCTCCTTGGTCGCCGTGCGACAGTCATCATCTCCGATGCCATCTTCATCGTTGGCGCGATCATGTGCACTGGTAAGCATGCTTCATTAACCTCATCCATGTGCCAGTACTAATAGTGCACTTTAGTCCCCAAGAACCAATTGAGTCTTGTCCTCGCCGGCCGATTCTTCACTGGCATGGGTGTAGGAGGAATAGCCGCTGTGTCGCCCATCTACATCGCCGAGATCTCGCCTCCTGCTATTCGTGGACGCCTCACTGGGTTCTTCGAATCTTTCTACCAAACGGGTGCCGTTATCGGATTCTGGATCAACTACGGCATTGTACACAATATGGACCGATCGAAATCCATCGCTTGGAGAGTGCCGATGGCTGTTCAGCTCATCCCTGCTGGACTGCTAGCTCTCATGATACCGGTTCTGAAGGAGTCTCCTACCTGGCTGCTGAAACGCGGTCGCGAGGCTGAGGCCTTGAAGTCGTGGAGCTACTTCCGTAACCTACCCGAAGACCATCCATACATTGCCCAGGATGTTCAATACGTGCGAAATGAGATTGCGAAAGAGCGTGCCGCACTTCTACATGGCGAGGCGCATGCTAGCTTCCTCACAACGATCAAAGCCGCAGCACGCGAAGGAGCCATGCCAGGAATGCGAAACAGATTCCTCTTGGTATTCCTCATGTTCATGTGGCAAGCTTGGAGTGGTGCCGCTGCAATCAACTACTACTCTCCAACCATCTTTACATCCATCGGATTGTCCGACGTAACTCTCTGGACCGGTATCTACGGAATAATCAAAGCTGGAGGTTCCATCATCTTCTTCACCTGGTTCATCGACATGTTTGGGCGGAAGTGGCCTTGGATCATCTCTTCCTTGATCTGTGCTTTCTGCCAGTACTACCTCGCCGTCTACATCGCACTCGGAAAGCCAACAGTGGGCGAGCCCATGTCCGAGTCCACAGTCGCTGGTGGCAAAGCTGCAACAGCCATGATCATGATTTTTGGTGCCGCCTGGTCATTCGGTGCGAACGGCCTTCCCTGGATCATCTCTAGCGAAATCTTCCCCGCATCTATGCGCTCTATATCGGGACCATGGGCAGCAGCATCCGTATGGATATGGACTCTGGTAGTCACCAAGGTAAGCACCTATCGATCGCACGTAATAGATATACTAATCTTGTTCTAGGCCTTGCCGCAAATGTACACCTCGATGGAATGGGGCGTATACGTCTTCTTCGCCACCGCGCTTATTTGCGCTAGTATTTACGCCTTCTTCTTCATCCACGACACGAAAGGACTGCGCATGGATCAGATGGATCAGTTGTTTAGTTTCGAGAAGCGCGAAGAGTTCATTGTGCAGGCAGATGGGAAGAACGCAGATTACGAGAGTGAGCACCATGAGAAGGCGCCTGTGCAACGGACTGAGGCTGTTTAATTGTAAGAAGTGTTTTAGTGATATCCATGTATTCCGAGTGTTGTACGTCTACGGCAGCCGCTCAAGTCATTTTCTGTACGTAATGAGTGAAGTATAATTCCCCTCGCGCTTCTTTCCCAACACAACTATACAGCCCGGTCTATCGATTTTCAAAACAGTCTATGAGACCAGCAATTGTCGTTTCGGTTCGTGCAACGTAAGCAATATACGATGCGCGTTGACTTATATCGTGGGAAGCGCGTGTCACATAGGCTAAATCCTGCCTTACTTTCGAACAGTCTGTCGGGTCATTGAAACCCAGGCTGAGCCCTGACCTAACCCGTTTTGACTGCGATCCTAGCGGCTCGTTAGATATAGCTCCTATATGTAGGCAAGTGTAATGCCAATTGCAGCATGGTACTACATATTGGGATCTGACCTGACGGCACCATCAGCCGCAACCGAAGAATTGATGTCGAAGTGCCACGATCACGGCAAGAAAAGGCGGTATTTGGTCTACTATGCAGGAAAAGGATGGTTGAAGAAGAGCATAAGACGTGCAAGTTTCCAGTCTAAGATCTTCCTCTCCGTAGTCTCAACACACCATGCCGTCACCCATCCTCGCGTTCTTACTCGCTCTCTTCACCACACTCGCCGCAGCCGCCCTCCCACCCAAAGGCGCTGTCTCCCTAACAAGCCTAGACATCGACCTCGATGGAAGTGGCTGCAGGCCCGGCGATGCCAGCGTCATGCTCGCCTCCGACAACTCCGCCTTAACCATCATCTTCGACAACTTCGCCGCTTCGGACGGACCAAAAGCAGGGACTGCAAAGACACGCGCCTTCTGCAGAGTGAATATAGGCATGAACTCGCCGGGGTGGGCGTTCGATGTTAGCTCGGCCGATTTCCGAGGCTATGTGTATATTGAGAAGGGGGTTGAGGCTAGTTTGGTTAGCCGGTGGAAGTGGATCGATGTGAATGGGGTGGATATGAAGGGCAAGGTGTGTAGTTGTAGTGGCTGAAAGTGTTGTTAGAGGTACTGACTTGAAGGATAGGGCAACATCCATAAGATTGTAACAGGGCCATTCGAGGAAGACTTCCTTTTGCACAAGAACGGTGAGATATCAGATACAGAGGCGTCGGTGTGTCAGAAGAAGGACGCGAGAATTCAGATTAGTCTCTCTGCGACGGTGGATTCGGGTACGTCGAACAAAAACGGTTACGTCCAGGGGAGCTCGGTGGATGCTGGGTTCGGCCAGATACTAAATCTGTCGTGGAAGAAATGCTGAGGTGATATGTTTAATTTGGGGTATCAATTTAAGGGCCAAGAGAGAAAGGTGTCCGTCTCCACCATCGCATCACAGCACTTCTTGCTGCTCCGTGAAAAGATCGGACCGACGTAGTTCTACTACGCCTTGGTGTATGCCGGCAGGTCTTCGGACTGTGCCTTGGCAGCAGCCCTCGCCTTCCTCCTCTCCCTGCGGTCCATCTCCCTTGCCACCGCCTTGGCCAGCTTCCTGCGCTCCTCGCGCTCCTTCTGCTTCAGGATGTCGCCCTTGCCCGACCAGACCTTCTTGAACTCCTTGCGGAACTTCTGGTTGAAGGTAAGGTACTTGTCGGCCTCCTCTTCCGCCTTGGCCTTGGTGTGCTCCTCCTCGTCGTCGGTGTCGTAGAAGTCGGACTCTTCGTCGGCCTCGTCAGAGACTAAGCGGTTGGTTTCTCCGTTGGAGGACTCGAGGCTGACTGCACGCTGGTTGCGCGCCTTGTCCCAGGTCTTGGTGCGCGAGTAGGCGACGCAGCCGGTGATGCTGAGGACCGTGAGGAAGGGAAAGGAGAGGAAGAGCAGCATTACGATGCCGAACGCGATGAGGTCTTCGTCCATGATTGCGGTCTGAAGGAGTATGTGTATGTGTGTCTGTAGGTGTATAGTTTGAGTGCTGGAGGTGGAGAGTGTGGAGACTGGAGGCATGTCTTAAGGGGAGGGTGGTTTGCCACCCGGAGTGTGGCGCAGCCGGTCCGGAACCGTACGTCACACGCCCGAGTCATGCACAACATGTGATTGTGCGTCTGATTGTGCGTCTGAACACAGTTTCCCTTCCTCTGGACCTGGAACGCTTTCAACACACAGACATTATAAGGGGGGTAGTATTTGTTTGCTAACTGCAGTAATCATGGACTTTTGTCGAGTTATCAGTCGCATTGCCACCATCTACTGGCATGCTGCGATGTGAATCGGGCTCGTGAACCCCAACTCATCTTCTCACGTCAACCCTCAGAGCTCAGAAGCGCACTCCCTACTCTATTCCAAATACAGCTTCTCCAGCTCCTTGAGCTCTCCCATCAACCAATCTTCATGCCTCTGCTCATACCTCTCCGCCTTAAGCCTCTTCTTCGTCAGCTTCGTCTCCGCCGCATACTTCTGCATAGCCTTTGTGCCCACGCTCAAGATCTTCTTCGTATGTCGCTGGAAGGCTTCTTCTTCCTTGCCTAGTACATCCGCCCATGTCAACCCTTTGCGCTCCATCGCCGCATCCACAGTCTCGTGCCACGCCTTCATTGCACTCGCCGCAACTTCGAATCGCAATCCCTCCGTACCCTTGGTTTGTGAAACTTCATCTGCGTACTTCGCAAGTGTACCCAGCGGTTTGATGGCCTGGACCTCGTCGACAAAGATATCGGTGTGCGGCTGCCAAGGCATGTCGCCCTGAATCATTCCGTACTGCACGCCGGAGATATCGAGCGACGTCTGTTTTCCCGTGGGTCGGTGGGTGACGCGCATGCACCAGTGGATGTACACAGTAGGGTTTGGGTTTTCGAAATCGAAAGGCTCGTCCGTAGCTGTGATGGCTTTTTCTTTGGGCGTCTTGAGGCGGACTTTGACTTCGTCGATGTCTACATCGAGGCCTGGTTGTCTACTGGTTAACTTTCGCCGTCTGATCTAAATGATCCTTGGGTCTTACCTGCGAACAGCTGCTCAATGAGCTTCTTCAGAACGCCAATGTCGTGACACGGCGAAATCACCAGCACCTTGCTCTTGGCCTCAGGATTGCCAACGAAGTACTGCTGCGGAAAGTCTGCAAACCAGCCGTTCTTCCGTCCGAGCTTCTTAGGGTCGTCTGTGATGATGGTGAGGCCGTCATAGAATGTTGGAAGGGAGATTTTGGCGCAGAACCGGCTCCATGTAACTTCGCGGTAGGCGTAGAAGATCTGCTATCAAGCTGTTAGCACAAATAGTAAGATGTCTCAGCACCGCGTTAGCAAAGCATAGCAAGGGAGCTACATACTAGTAATAAGTTAGCAAGACATCCTAAGAGCTATTCGTGATAGCTACTTTACACTGAAGCATGCGGGAGGCGCGATGGATACGGAACCCGGGTGAGGTTACCGGGCTCGCTCTCAAACCATCCAGGTAGTCTCTCAGCATACCGATCAAGCGGTGTCGATGTTCGGCATATCGTTCGTCGATCACCCGCTTGCCTCCGGGCAGCAACAACTGTCGTGGTATTTTAGACATGATAATTGGTTTCTGTGCGGTTGGTAGTGTTAGCTGAGGTGGTGGTTACGGCGCGACTTTGCTCTTGTTGTTGTCTCTGCCTTCACCATGGCGACGGAAATCTCTGACTACAAACAACGATAAATATGACGACACTTCATTATTAGATAACTCAACAAACGAGACACAAGTTCACAACGAGCACTCGAAGGTTTAGTGAGATCAGATCATTCGCATTAGATTTTGTGATGGAGAGAGACAGGTCTGACATAAGTACTGTCTCAAACCCGAACAGTAAGCATTTCGCCGAAAGAGACACTAGGCTGACAAACCAGGGCGCCAGATGTACAAGCCATTGTCGTGCTCTACTGAGTAATCCGAATTGCAGCGAATGCTTGACGGTGATAGGGATGTATAGAAACCAGGGCGCAGGACATATCAGTCATCTTACCGCAGTAAAGACGTCTCCGAATTACAGGCAATACTTGATGGCGATAGACCAGAGTCCTCAACATCTGAGTGCATAATAAATCCGCCGTCCGGCAGTGTTTTGAACCTCGTATTCTCAGGCCACGGCTGATGTTTATGCCACTCTTTGGTATTCACCGTCAGTTGAGGTCCCCCACGACGCCTTTTCGGTACATCCGTTCTCGTGGATTGACGCGGGCCTGCGTTCATCGCTTGATCAGGTGCTTTGCGGGTCTCTTTAGATACGGTGACTTTTGGCGGCTGGACAGGGCCCTGCGAAGTCTGGTCATCGAACTCTACACGCCGTTCCCTCTTAACACGTTGATGAGCGCCAAGGCGATGATCGATTCTCAACTGTACAGTGACACCTTCCTTGTCCTCTTGGTACTTCTCATTTGAGCCGATGAAGAAGTCTATGCGTTCGTCGTCGTACACGGTAGCTTTACCGCACGGACAAGAAATAGCAAATTCGAGACGACCCTTCTTCACGACACCCCGCTGCGTCCTCCCGCACGCGCGGCATAGTCGACAATAGGGGACCAATCCAGCGGTCGCTGAAGAGGGCTCCTGGAACGCATCCAGATGTGATGATTGAACTCGTTTAAGGACCGCCGAGCTGGAACATTCCGGGCAAAAGATGTGATCGCACCTTGTGCATTCCAGACGGTTGAACGGGAACGCGCCTTGACGATGTGTTACAAGGTTTTCGTTATCAGCGTGGCCCTTACAACATAGCCACACACCATCTTCCTTGTGTCTCCGCCAGCCAGCTACAGGCTCATAAGGTTTGTCAGGCGACTTCGGGACAACGTCATGGTAGATACTGCCTGTCCAACCTTGTTGTTTGCGCACTATCTTGAATGCGCCTCCACCCAATGAACTGGATCGCTCGCGGTTCGTCATCTTTCTTCCGTCTGTTCCTACTGCTTGATATTTCTAGACTCTTTTGTGAGGTCCGGATGGGAGTGGCGGATGAGGTTATATAGATTCCGTCGAGCCTTCAATAGACGTTGTTTGCCATGTGTTTCACAGTGTCTAGTGATCTTGTTGGATGCAGTCATGCATTGGGTCTCTGCTGACTCTGAGGTCTGTGTTGCCGATGTACAAGGGAGCTGTGTATGTACGAATATCAGATATGTTGGCCAACGCGCAGTGTAGAGCTACACGTTGCGTCTTATTTCTTGCAATCACGAAACATAGAGAAGATGTGAGTGAGAGGTATATTAGTAGACGCTGCTCGATAGCAGGATGACTGTGGACGAGAAAACGGATGCACGAATCTAGCATCACGCGCTCCGTCTGCTCAATCTGGAAACCACGAGACATCGGCGCGAACATCCCGGCCTGAATCTAGCTTCAACACATAAGCTGTAGATCCACCTGCTCGTCGCTTGGGGCGTTTATTACGCTTGGTCTCCGGCTTTGAAACGTCTCGGACGTGAGTTGGTCCTCCCTTATCGAGTGCGAGACGAAACTTCTCAATCTCACCAGGGGAGGAAGGAACCCAATCGGCGAGAGGAATCCTGTTGCTCTTACACCGTTGGGATGCATCCAGTCTTTGCGTGAGGCGTACATCTACCGTGACAGCATCAGCATCGCTCTGATACGCAGCGTTATCGCCAATATAGAAGTACATTGGCTCTTCGCTAGAGATCCGGCCGCAGACGCATGGCATTGTTGGAAATTCAATGCGACCTTTGCTGATTTTACCACGATGTGTGAGACCGCATGCTCGACACAGTTGGCAGTATCTGCTCTCTTTTAACCTCCTCTGGCCTTCGAAACGTTCCTCGTAAACCTCCAACTTCAGTGAGGGTACTGGAGTCAAGATCTCGGAGGTACGATCATCGGGACACAGTATGCGTTCGCAATGACATTTAACATACTTGAAGGGATGTGGTCCTGCGAAATGGTATAGTTTCATGTCGTGGCCACAGCTAGGGGCCCAGACACCATCTGCGGTACGGTCGTATTGGAAGTGGACATCGTTGTGGAGATGTCTACGTAGGCTTCGCTTCGAGAGCCTGAAAGGGTTGACGGCTTTGATAGCCTTTGCGACTCTCTCTAATGAGAGTCTCCGCGTGGAAATCTTTGTGAAATGGGCTGTTCTCATTGTATCTTGGGCTGTTGTGAAAGCGAGTAAATATTCGGGTTGTTGGTAGGCTGCATGCCCGGCCATGGAAGAAACAATGCAACAAAGAAATAGTTGTGCTGCTGCTACACTCTATCATCACTATGGTCAGCGGCGCATCACTGTAAGTATATAGACGATGGATTTGACATATATAACGAAGTATCGGGAAATGTGATGGATCAGTAATCTCTATAAGTACACAATGAGATATGAGATAGTGATAGTAAGACGACTTACTTGAAACAGTATCAGTAGATAGAGTAAACATCACTTGCATGTCTCTTAACGTATCGCTGTCTTATCCGTATGGTAATGGTTCAGATCGAAGCTCACGAAGGCAGCCATTGACGTGATGGGATTCTCATCTCCTCCAATGCTATTCAGCCAGTCGTGAACATCATCCTGGATTCCTGCAACTCAGTCCCGATGATGGCGCATCCTCGTTCGCAATGATCCACCGAAAAGTAAGCCTCGTCGCATCATCAGCTCTTGCATCGATGAGTTTGACAAAGCTCGCATCCGGATCCCTCCTATACGGCTCGTTGTTACCGATATGATAGCGTGGCCAGTCACCGTATGAAGTGCTCCCGCAAGCCGCACACTTGACACCGTAAAAGTCTAAGGTCGTACCTTCCATCTCGGCGCGATGACTCAGTCCGCAGGTAGTGCAGATGTGGAAATAACGAACTTCGCGATCGAGGCGTGGCCGTGGTGCTTGAATCATGCCGTACGGTAGAGGTGATAGGATCTCGGATGAGTGACACTGAGAACACAGTATCTCGTTGCAGCGACTGCATAACAGATGTTTGAAAGGAAAGGCGCCTTTGTAGTGCGTAACGACGTTCTCGTGACGACAGTGGCAGCATCTCCATATTCCGTCCCCGATCTCTGCATCGCTCCGCAAGGCCCGTAGAGCAGGATACTTGTTCTCCTGTATTATATAATACTCGGTGGGCGCTTCCGCAGGGATCGCGGAGTCGAAATCTTCCTGTACGCTTCCTGGCCTAGAGCTGTCCTTTGAGTGTCGTTCGGCTATCGGCGAGAGGAGATGATGCGCTGTTGTTGTGGTGCCCTTTCTCGACTCGGCCTTTTCGAAGACGCTGGTCAGTGTCGATGTAAAGGCTTTCGACAGTCGCTTGGCGCGGAAGATGCTGCTCTGACGCTTCATACCGAGCTATGTTCGAAACCGTGGTAGTCGCGCGTGGGGTTAGTGTAGCTGCGGGACGAGACTGGATTTGGTTGCAGTGAAGATCTAGATGTTCAGTTGCTTGTTTGGGTGCTCGCTCAGAGTGTAACGAAATCACGTTCAGTCACGCCTTGCGCCTTCCTCTCACCGCGCAGCTGCGAAGGCAAGCGCGTTGGGGCTCACCTCGAACGTTTACTTCTGCAGTCTCCCTGACAGTGATGATTGACTGAAGTGATAGATGTAGAATTCATTTCTCTATTCAGATCCGTTAAGCGAGGGTGGTTCACGCATGTTATTTTGGTCCTGCTGGCGTAAACAGCAAGGCCTGAGCTAAGGTGGCATTATCTTGTAGAGTAACGTGTCGAGCAAACGCGCGCGCGTGAAGGCGTATCATCTTGGGATGCATCCGTGACTGTCGCCAAGTGATATAGCGTGTCATCGTGGCACAAAATCATAGAAAGAAAGACTAGAAGGGGTAAAGATTTGTTCTGGGGGAGGGCGCGCAGAGAAAGATAGGATTGAAGGGGAAGAACAATACCTAGCCCTGTGACGTACTGTGGTTGAACCCTACCCGGCGCTAGCCCTGGAGTGCTGACGCGGAACATTGAACATTGATCTGTCCTCGCGCGTCTGCCTGCAACCAACATTCACCACCACCGCCATGATCCAGGCAATCCTTCAGGTTAGTGCGCACACAAGTAAACTGAGGCTACCGTGACTGACATGATGCAGCGCCTGGGCCGCTGGCTCGACCGGCCGCTCTTTCCATGGAAGCGCCTCGTTGTCGGCTTCTCGCTCGCAGAGTTCGCCCTGGAGAACTGGCTTCTCTTCCGCCAGTACCGTGTCCTCGAACGCACCACCGTCCCCAAGGCTCTCGACAAGGAAATTGAAAGGGAGACCTTCGATAAATCCCAGGTACGCGCACAATTGCAGCAACCCCGCCATGCTTACCAGCGCTGACTTGACAGGAATATGGCCGCGCCAAAGCCAAGTTCAGCTTCTTCTCCGCTCTCTTCAACCAGGTCAAATCCCTCGCCGTCCTCTACTTCAACGTATACCCGCTCGTCTGGGCCGCCGCCGGCACCGTCGTCGCTCGCTATGCGCCCGTCCGCTTCTCTGGTGAAATTCCCCAGTCGCTCTTGTTCATGTACATGTTGGGGTGGATCGATCTGATCACCGGCCTCGGCTTCTCCTACTACCACAGCTTCGTGCTCGAGGAGAAGTTTGGCTTCAACAAGATGACGGTCAAGCTCTGGCTCACGGACATGATCAAGGGCCAGGCTCTCGCTATTGCCTTCGGTATTCCCATTGGAAGCGCCTTCTTGGCCATCATCAAGAAGACAGGCCAGGGTTTCTTCTACTACCTGTGGATGTTCATGCTGGTTATCCAGATCACTGGCATGACCATCTACCCGATCCTCATTGTGCCCATGTTCAACAAGCTGGAGCCGCTCAAGCCCGGCAAGCTCAAGGAGTCTGTCGAGGCGCTTGCGTCTAAGCTCAACTTCCCGCTCTCGGAACTACAGGTCATCGACGGCAGCAAGCGCAGCGCCCACAGCAACGCATACTTCACTGGACTACCCTGGATCGGCAAGAAGAAGATTGTCATCTACGACACACTGCTGGAGAAGAGCACGGAGAAGGAAGTTGAGGCTGTCCTGGCACACGAACTGGGACACTGGAAGATGAACCACACTTCGCGACTTCTTTTCATTAGCCAGGCGCATCTATTCTACATGTTCGCCCTGTTCTCCGTCTTCATCGACAACCGCTCGCTCTACGCCGACTTTGGTTTCCACAGGGAGCAGCCGACAATCGTTGGCTTCATGCTCTTCAACGAGATTCTGTCGCCCACGGACTCCATCATCAAGCTCCTCCTCAACATCTGGACTCGCAGCATGGAGTACGAAGCCGGTATGTATCCTGGTCCCAATCCATGTCTCAGCCAATGCTAACAACACCCAGATGCCTTCGCAGTCAAGCTCGGATATGCGCGCGAACTCGGTGCCTCATTGATCAAGCTCCAGATCCAGAACCTGTCAAGCATGGATGCCGACTGGTTCTATTCCAGCTTCCACCACTCCCACCCCATCCTGACGGAGCGCCTCAAGGCTATGAACTGGACTGGCGACAAGAAGGTCTCGGAGGACAAGGCGGCGGACGAGGAGAAGCCTATCAAGGCAGCGGATCGGGAACTCTAGGCGTGGATCTCGATCGGATTTTGTACAATATCGGGTATAAAAGGTCATGGGAACTTGACCGCGCAGGGTCGCAAGTGCGACGAAAAGTTCGTAGAATACAGCCCAAATGCAATGGCCGAGGCGTCCGTCAGAGTCGTTCCCACCATGTATCTTTTGCAAATCGTGAGATCTGACACCTTTACTCTTTTGACTTGCCCTTCGCGGCCTTTTCCTTCTTCCTCTGCTGGTCTCGTTCTTTCTTCGCCCTCTTCCTCGCGTCCTTGTCTATCACGCCATCCGCGGGCCCCTGCTCCTCCACCTGCGCATTCGTCCGCTTCTTGTCTTTGCCCTTGGTAGACTGTACCTCGGGTTCTTCACCACCCTCCTGCACAACATTCGTCCTGTCGCCAATCTCTCCAATCTCGATATCTCCCTGTTCAGCCTGATACTCAGCCAGGTCCTGCCATTCTCCCTCGGCAACCGTTGCAAACTGGCTGGACTTCTTGAGACCGCCCTTGCGACCAGTCTTGACAGTGACATCCGTGGTTGCGTTTTGTTGGTCGTCTTCCTCGTCTAGCGCTCGTTCTGGTTCTTGGTACTCGCCGCGCATACCCGCTGCTACACGGCGCAAGTGGTGCATGATTGGGTTGCCCATAGCGCCGCCTTGCGCATTGAATGCGACGCCTTCTGGTGTGATAGTCGCATCGGGATGGAGATGCGGGTACGTTTCCGAGTTCGAGAGGTACTTGTCGAGGATGGCCGACGCAGCGTCGAGAGGGATGGGCGCGCTGGAGATGTGGCGGCGGGGAGGAGGTGCTTCGAGCATCATTTTGGCAGTGTTTGGGCGCGAAATAGAGGGTTGGGTGGGTAGTTGCTATCGTGGAAATGGTGGAGTTGTTGGTTAGGATTTTGGGACGACGGCCAACTTTTTGCGCACGGACGACAAGGAATGTGTTAGCTCTGCGGACTTCGCGACGGGCATGCCAGACTGCACGCTCGCATCGACAAATCAGGACCACGCCGCCACGGAGACGATACTACGGGCGAAAAGGACGCAATTGCGGTCGACATACACATCATGAACGCCTTCCGGTGCCTACGGGTCGTCGCGCGCCCTTCAACCAGCGCATCCACACTCCTCCGACCACGCATAGCACCACCACACTCGTACCTACCCTCCCTCCAAGCCCCTTCTCCACCTCTCTAACCCATCCTCCAGACTATCTACACCCTCGTCCACCCGCCAAATATCGCTCCTCGCCCCCCGACGCCCCATGCTGCCCCGCACAAACGCCCTCCCGCCCGCGGGCACCACCTCTCTGGTCCCCTCAAGCTCCGAGACGCTGGACCTCGCCTCCAAAATCTCGTCACATCCTGGTCTGGGCAGCATGCAGATCCGGTGCGGTCCGCGTGATACGTACAACCCGAGTCATCTGGTGCGCAAGAGGAGACATGGGTTTTTGAGCAGGATTAGGACGAAGAAGGGGCGGAAGATGATTATGCGGAGGTTGAAGAAGGGGAGGTGGAATATCAGTCATTAGAGGAGAGATAGTGTTTGTCTGTCAAACGGGCGAATATGGGTTGGACTCGAGGATCTCTGGCTCGGAGATGGGAACAGACAAGGGCGCTTGTGTATATTGAATGTACAGTATGCGTGACGTGCATTTAAAGACATGTACTATATGAGAGAGGGAAACGTGTATGTGGTGGAGTAGTAAATACCTACACGGAGTCTCTATTTGACTGGTGTTCCTCCTGCTCCAGTCTCTTTGGGTATGACCGCATCAACCAGCCCACAAACGTAGGTCCTGTAGCCATTTCCTGAAAACCCTCTCTAGTAGAGACGAAACCCGCATTGCGTTTAGATTCTCCCCATATTGTTGATGGCGTTAGGAAGTGGACTAGAGATCCATCCTAGTGGATACCGTGTTGGAAGGTGTTGTCGGTTCCAGAGACGATGTCTAGAGAGCTGCATGGGAGTCTCCTGGTAACCCCGAATGCTTCTTCCATACTGGCGCTGATAGGGGGTACATAAGCCGGCGTCCAACCGACAATCATATGGAGAGCTCTGTGATATCCGATGACCATAATGGCCATCGCATCACTTTGGCGTCGATGGCTTTTCCTCTCCAGCCTTGCCCTCCTCTTCCGCCCCCTGCGTGCCGTCCTCCAACGCCTCCACAAGCTTGAGCTCCTCATCGATCTTGTCGATTTGCTTCAAAATGAACGCAATCGTAGCATCCCTTGCTTTGTCCACCCTCGTCAGCGCATCCATAGTCATCTTCCCATAATCCTGCATCTTCTGCGGCGTCGGTGGCGCAGGCTCCTCATCCTGCAACTGCGCCTTTTTCTGACTCAACAACTTCCTCAGCGCAAAGATGTTGTAATCCCTTTCCTGTAGGTTCTTGATCAGCTCTTCCCGCTTAGCTTCTTCGTCGACTCTTTGCTTCTTGGTAGCCTGCTCTTTCTTGATCTCCGTATCGGCGACTTTCCACTTCCAAATCGCTTCCTTGGCGCTGTTTTCAATATGCGTGAAACGTATAGGACCGATATTTTGCCCGCCGTACCAGCGCGCAACTACTACAACGCCCTCGGTCTGCGTGTCTCGTAGTACATTGCTGAGTCGTCCTCCGGCCCACTTTTCGCCGTCATCATCGTGGCCAAGATCATACAAAGTGCGGGATTCTGGCATCAAAGACTTTTGCCGTGATGGTTTCCTCCATGCTGCGATTTTGTGGGTGGCAGTCCGGAATTCGGGGAGTGTTTGCAAGGCTTTGGCGGATAGGTTAGGAGAGAACGCGGCTTTGAACGTTGATGTCTGCTCTTGTATTGCCGACGAGAGATATATTTCTGTTACGGGTTTTGGAGATGGTGAGCGCTCCCTTTTCATGGCCATCTCTTTTCATGCGCTTGTTGCACTGGATGTTTTGTGTCCAAGTTGGAGAAGGGACGGGAGGTTGGTAACGTGCAGGGAAGGCGCATGCGGAAGCGCGACTTTAGCGCGGATGCCAAACGATGTCGCGAAGCTTGTCAGCGCTGCTTCCACGAAACATCATCTTCGAACATCAAGATTCCATCGATTTTGCGTCCACTAGCAGTTATCTTATAGATTTAACTGTTCTGATCACCACGGCTGAATCTCGTCATTTGATTACAACATTCTCTTCCAAGATCATGAACAATTCCTGCGTCGTCTGTGCACGTACTCTTCTTGAAAGATACGATGCGCATCCCTCCTGTCCAGACAAGACGTCTCATCAAGCAAATACATGAAGTTTGTTTCTGAGGACGTATCGGTATTACCCAGGCGGTCAAGCAAGAACTTCCGATACGGTCAAGGCTGTCGTTTCTCTCACTACGTTCCTCGACCCAATTGTTGCTCAGGTATATAACTCATCAACACCGTTCTCTTCATATATATAGCTTGGCTCTCTATCATACTTGCATGATCCATTTACAAAAAACAACAAATTGGCTGTCTACCTTCCTTACCGACGGCACCGAGGGTACCCGGTGGTGTCTCAAATCTTTCACTTCTCGATTCTACGAACACGTCACATCAGGCGCACGAGACCACATCTCGGGATATATACCCCACTTACTTGCCATTGGACGGCCTTGCTAAGACTCAAGATTCGCAGCAGGCAACGGGCCGTTACTGCTGGCGCATGCAATAATATATAGGTAGTGATATCTGATCTCCAACACTGATCCTCTACCACCTACTCGCCGCTACAACTTCAGTAGTATCTGGCGCGATCAAAGCGATTCTTCGCGCCGACTCAAGGTAAGTTCGTGCGATTTGTTCGGCGCAGACACCTCGTCCTTCAGTGCGACGCGACTTTGATCTGCTGAGGCGATCCTCTTGCTCCAGCCTTCCATTTTAGACTTGACGCAAAATCTCTTGCTAATCTCTACGGCTCAGAGAACTGCCTCAACGCTCCGGTGGCAGTTTGTTCATCAAGCTCAAGCTCTTCAAGTCCACTGTCCATACGGACCAGCTATCACCATGGGCCGATTCGAAACCCTCAACGATGACACCAAGGACCTGGTGAATTGTCTTCTCCCCGCCCTGGCAACTTCCTTCGGTCTCACTGACAGTCTGGATATCATCCCCGAGGACATTCGCATGCGCGCCTGGGATTGCGAGCGCCGCGACCATATCAAGGACGAGACCGAGAACGACCCTCGCAACTGGGGTGTACAGTTCCTCAAAGATCTGATGTCTATTTCTCGTCTCACGAATGGAGACCTAGCTCGGTTCCAAGCTGATCTGCGTGCCAAGGTCGATCTTCATGAGCCCAAGCATCCCTGGGCTCGTCTGGCCGATATCAGAGACATCAAGGATGAGTACGAGCACCCAGAGCGCAAGAATCAAGTCGTCATCCCGGAGTCCTCTGAAGAATCTTCCGATGACTCCTACTTCGAAGAGCTTGTCGAGCCAGATCAACCCAAGGGCGCTAAGAGGCGTCGTGGTAACCACGAGATCTACGAAGCACGCGTTCTAGAGAAGCGCCGCAAACGTAAGTCAACCCCTCTGTCATACCGAAAGTCGTTCAACAGATACATCAGCGACGACCTTGAAACTTCGAACGTCGAATCATGTTATTGACATTGAGTAGGTGCTCCTAACCGTCTCCGCCGTGCCGAGGATGGTGGCTTCGAGCGTCACGACAAGCGGGCCAAGAAGCGTGAGCGCTCTGTCCGCACCAGCACCACTCCCAGTGGTCGCGGAATCGCTACTCGCCGCGCTAGAACCATCGTAACCGAAGACGACGAAGACTATACTAGCTCTCCCGGTACCCAATCCCTCACCCACCGGACTCCCGCCTTCTCCGTCTCTCCAGGTCCCCAAGATGCGCGCATGTACCCTGTCGAGACTGTGGATACCGTGGATACATCTGGTCAGCCTCTTGCTGTCCAAAAGATGCAGGCTGAGTTGGAAGTTGCCGAGGCGGAGCTCAAGGCTGCTCGTGTAAGGTGGCAGTACCTCCAGGCCAAGGAGCAGGCTGAGCAGGAAGCTATGTATGGTGGTAACGGTACTCCGGAGATGCCTCACAGGTTCGATTAAGTAGTTCTGGTTGATGTGATTGGAGGATTTCATGCATATTTGCGGTGGCTTCGGCGGCCTTTCTATAGTACACTACATGCGTGAATGATGGAAGCCAAATTCAGAATTTAAGACTTTTCCTTCTTCTTCTCCCTGACCAGACGTTCCTCTTTCATGGCCAATCGCATTCGGAGTGACCTATCGGTACTATTGCCCGTACCGGGCGGCGCTCGTGGGAGGGGGCCGATGTCGATGTCGCTGGCAGAAGTTCGCGCCGCAACATGTTCTTGGAGTGTCTTTATAACCTCCTTCTTTTCCTGCTGAAGCGCAAATCGCGTATTTCGCGGTTTCGGCTCCGATTCGTAAGTGTCGAGGTGAAAGAAATCTTCAGCGCGCATTCGCTTCCGCTCCCAAAGCTTCTTGTCCGCCTTCTTTCCAGAGGCAATCTCCTCTCTCCACTGATTAGCCTCATGCCAATCGGTATACTACATTTATGTTAGACATTATCGCTTTCACTCATGATTGTAGACATGCTGCCTCCATCCACTCATCTGCTCCCTTCGCCTTGCTCATTGTCATATCGGCCAGCAGGATACTACGTAGAGCCTGCTGGATGGGCGTTGCGGTGCATTGAGCCATGTTGAGGAATACGTAGGCTTTTGTATTGTGTTTTGATAGGGCGATTGTTATGTTGCAGGCCCCAGAGGTGTCTGTTGTGTGGTGGTTGTAGGGTGGGTGTCGCGTTGTAGGCCGCAAAGATAGTCAAGGCAACGACCATATGAGCCCGCAAAAGCCGTTTGCCGCATACAGCAGTGACGGTGAGAGCGTAATTTCTTCATCTCTGGGCTCGCGGTGACGCGTCTTTCCTGTGTAACCTCGCAGTGAAAGTGAAGGTGAGAGCGGATTGAGCTCGCGTTTGTTTGTTTACTCCACCATAATCTCTATCTCTCTGCCCCACTTTCATATCCGCTTTATATGTGTATATATATTAGTTAATTCTACGATACTCTATCAAACCATTCTACCTCAAAACCGGGATGGCGGCTGGAACCAAAAGAGGACACTGTCCAAGAAAGAAAGATACAAAACATAGCCAGTCGTGATAAATCCGCCACAAGAAGCAATAACAGGGTTTCAAGATGTTTCCAAAGTATAACGGAGGTGGTCATCTCTTTTTGCACTAGGGTCGAAACTGTGTTGTGACAACTCTGCGCTCTCCTTTTTGCCCGCTTTTTTGCCCGCGGTACGTGGCGGGAACATGAATATCTTTGCTGCATTCATGGATTCATTCCTCGTAGCTGTAAACGTTAAGAAAGTAGTGTAGCAGGCAAAGAGGTCTTACCAGCAGCTCTTCCAACCCCAGTCGTGCATAGAGTACCTCCAGCCCTTCCCATGGTTATCACCCTTAGCAAACCTACACAGTAGTTGGAGAATACACAGGCAGCGCAATTCTTTGTTTTGGCAATGCTGTTAGACACATGTACTACATCATATGTAGGTCGGCCTTCACACCTGGACATGCCAGGATATGTAAGCTGACATGCAGTCGACCCCACAATTGTTCCGTCCGACTCAGGTACGCATTTCTAGACTATGCAATGTCATTCCTAGACCTTTCGGCGCGCCTTCTACGCCACTCGCACCTGCCTGTTTCGCCGTTCGATCAAACCCAGTCTGCAGGTGGACCAATTAGGAACTACGCTCCGCTAGCGCGTCTCCGCAGTCCTTCCCCAGATCGCCTGATCATCCCGACACCGAGGCTCTACAAAAACATTATGCACACAGCAGGACCCATTATGAACATGGAACAGCCATCCCAGAAACGAGTATCGAAAGCATGCGACGCGTGCAAGAGGAGGAAAGTGCGTTGTAACGGCCAAGCACGGTGTCAACAGTGCGCGCATCTCGGCTTGCGGTGCATCTACTCACCCTCCGGCAAGCAAAGGTCTCAGGGCAAGCGAGGCCATATCATCTCCGAGTTCAGAAGCCAAACATCCAATTTGCCAGCAATATCGCCGCCCATACTGCCTGCTCATTCAGCAGCAGCTAGCTTTCAGACGCCGTACAGTCCCATCTCGCCGATACTTGACCGTAATGGAGGCACACCAAGTATGTCACCCTGGCAATCTCTACTCAAATATGGGGTGCTACTGCTGACTCCGGGCAGCATCTCCTTCGTCATCTTTCACATCACAGTACCCCAAGGCTTTCTTTCTCGACCTCATCCCGGATTATGTTGCTGGGGTATATCCTGTTCATCCGGTCATTGCCGAACATGAGCTCCGACAGTACATCGAGGTCATGGACAGCGACCTAGATGTCCGCTCATTCATCTACGCGTTCGGAGGCTGCACGCTGAACTTGACCCGGTATGGTGACCGCCGAACAGAAGAAATCGTCCAAACCATCGAAAGCCTTATGGACTACTCGATAGATACCATGAGGCGAACCCACAAGCATTGCCAATTCTCGGTCATGCGAGCTGTGCAGTCAATGTTCATACACAACTGCCTCATGAGTCTGCAAGGTAGCGACAGCGCATTCTACTACATGCGAGACGCCATTACGATCATCCAGCTGCTGCAGATCGACAAGCCGGAGAACGTGGCCCAGCTGTCTCCTCCCGAACGATCCCGAAGACAGCGGCTCTACTGGCAAGCGTACATACACGAGCGATTCATAGCTATCCTGGATTACCGGCGTGCCATTCTCCCTCCACTCTACACATTGCCGGAAGACGACCCTACACTTCCGATACAGGTCCACGAGGGCTTCAATCAGATCATCAAGCTTTTCCGCATGCTTGATACCGAGTTCCTTGATAGTTGGCTTGACACGCAAGGAGGCAACGTCACCAGCACGTGGGTCGAGGCCAAGTCGCGCGAGCTTGAAGGCGACCCTGAGGCTGACGCGCGGGAGTTGGCCATGTTGTCCATGATGCAACGAGCCGATCTGTGCATCACGCGTGAATGGCTGCGCACTCTGGTCTGGCGCTTAGCTATGAGCCAAACCCTCTTGTCTTCTCGATCTTCGAAAGATTGCCTGTCGCTCTTATTCCCGGTAAGGCTGTCACAGACATTACGGCAACAATTATCCAGTATGTCGCGCCACGACATCGAAGTACACGGAAGCAGCATCACTCAGAAACTTTTCGAGATCACAGACACGATTGCCGATGTTCTTATCCACGTTCCCGCCGCGACTATCGATGAAACGGCACTAAGGATCGACGATTTCCTCTTCATCCTAGACTTTGTCCTGCTGATTCCACACCTTGATCAGACGCGTCGAAGCATACTGCTCGAGAAGCTAGAGCGCCTCCAAACGATGTTCCCTGAGGCACTCAGCAATGCCAGTTCGCCGAACCTACCACACGATGTGAATAGTCCTGGTGGGGTGAACGACCCTTGGTATCAAGTCACGCAATCAAAGACAGCTGCTGGGCTAGAGGATATGGCGGACGGATTGGTGCAGGTTCAAGCCCAAGAAATTCCAAGATCAGAGGCGAGAAGTGGACATTTGGCCACATGGAACAATATTTCACAACGCTTGTCCATGCAGGTCGCTCATGTAGCTCAGTAAAATATAGCTTCAAGCAATGATTTTGTTCATGCGACACTATCTACGCAAGTAAATAGATCCTGCCTTCAAAAGCAGCCAGTTTCTTCTCCTCACAGTTGTCCACGCTGCTTACAAGCAGTTCCATCTTTTCGCTCTTCACACTTTCTGGGAAGGCCAGATCCTTCTTCTGGTCCGTGAAGTTGCAAATGCCCACGGCCCTCTTCTCATTCCATGTCTTGCTGAAAACAAAGAAGTCTGGGCTCTCCACATCTAGATCGTCGTACTGACCATGCACAAGCAGATCGTTGTGTTGCTTGCGTACTTGCAGCATGCGCTTCCAGAAAGCGAGCACGGAATCCTTATCGCCTTTTTGTTGCGCAACATTGCAAACCTTTGCATCTTCAAGAGGTCGCATCCACGGTTCCGCGGTAGCGTCAGGCGGCGAGAAGCCGTTGTGCGTTGCGGTCGACCAGCTCATCGGCACACGAGCATGGTCTCTAGCGAGATGCTGAAGCGACTTATGCGCAGCTTCAAGAGCCTTGGGGTCGTCGTTTGTCCGCGCAGCTACCATCTTGTAGTAGTTTGTCGAGTCCACGTCCTTGTATTCGCTCATATCCCACGTCAGAGGGAAGTTCGTCATGCCAATTTCTTGGCCTTGGTAGATGAACAACGTGCCGCTCAGTGCTGCCATCATCAACGCAAGCATCTTGCCGCCTGCAACACGGTGCTCGGGCGCATCGGATGTGAAGCGTGTGATTGATCGACTTTGGTCGTGATTCTCGAGGAAGACGGTAGTCCAACCATCTGAGGGGGCGCGAATGAGGTCTTGCGTGCGGGCCATGGCACGTTTGAACTGTGGGAGTGTCCAGTTCTTAGGGGTGGTTTGGAACTTGTAGGGGCCTTGGCCGACGTCGACGACATCCTATGCTGATAGTTAGTACTGCAGATCTCTTATTTTTGCGGTTTTGGGGCTTGCTCACAAATTGGAAGACCATGTTCAGTTGCTTCTCTTTAGCACTAACATATTCCAACACTCTCTTCATGTCTGGTGTGTGGGGACACTCGCCGACGGTCATAGCATCGTACTTCTCCAAGATTTGGTTCATCTCGTTCAGGAATTCGGCCATCCTTGGGCCGTTGCAGTACTGATATCCAGCAAACTGCCATTCTGAACCAGGATCGGTGATCGGTGCGTCAAGCATCTCACCTTTGCTGTACATGTTGACGGTATCAACGCGGAATCCATCAACTCCGCGCTGTAGCCAAAACTCCATGGCGGATTTGTAGATGGCTTGTCGTGTTTCTGGGTTTTCCCAGTTGAGGTCAGGTTGCTCGGGGCAAAAGAGATGTAGATAGTATTCTTGTGTATGCTCATCCCACTCCCACACACTACCTGTAAAGTTGCCGACCCAGTTGTTGGGAGCTTTGCGCTCGCCGTTGACATAACGAGCTGGTCTCCAGATGTACCAGTCTCTCTTGGGGTTGTCTTTCGATGATCGTGATTCTAAGAACCATTTGTGCTTGGAGAAGTCAGTTTTGCAGGGTTGTGCCGAGCTGCACCCTCAAGACTTACCTGGTCAGATGTATGGTTGACTACCAGATCCAGTATAATCTTCATGCCTCGCGAATGTGTCTCGGCGATCAGCTTCTCCATGTCTTGGACAGTACCATACGGCCTGTACACATCCTCATAGTCACGGATGTCGTACCCCACTGTTGGAGTAGAAGGTCAATATATATACCACGTGCAATTTGTATAGAGGTAATACTTACTGTCTACTTGGGGTGAATCGTACATGGGACAGATCCAGATGACGTCAACACCAATGGAGCGGATGTAGTCCAGCTCTGAAATGATGCCATTGAGGTCACCAATGCCGTCGCCGTTGGAGTCTTTGAAAGAAGCGGGGTAGATCTGGTATACAACACCATCTTTCCACCAAGGTCTTTGAGGAACGGTCATTGTGTTGCTGCTGGATCCCCGTGCTCTTTGGGGTAATTTTGATTACCTAGGTATGGTGGGTAGAGATGGTACGCAGCGTCAATGAGGGCAAGCGTTTCTTTGGTGGCTTGCAATGGCACCAGTGGCTTTCTTATAAGCGTCTTGCAATGGGATCTTATGAGATGGAGAGTAGTCGTTGAGATCTGGTCACTGTGTTTGGACCGTACGTGGAGATTCCCCCCACCGGAAAGTTTCTCGGTACAATGACGATTGGCTCGAAGCCGGATCGTGTCTACGGATGGCGATCCCCACACAACCCAGCAACAGTCTTCCCCACAGATGTCTTCCATCGCATGGTGTTTCAACGTTCTTTCCCGCGTGTCCGATATTGCGGGATTTAAGCGAGGATGCATGCGGGGAGATGGTGGGCGCGACAGGCTATCGATTCATGCTCTCGGTCCGAGATGAAAGGCAAACCGCGTTAGCGGGAACGCTCAGTCGCATTTCCGTGCCACACGTGATGGTCGCTTCGGCTTTGGGGGCTCGTGCACGCAACCTTGAAATCTCGGTCCGGCATCTTGTCGAATCACGACCTTCACTCCTGCTCCGAGTTTTCGATGGCACACCCGTGTCGGCGGGCCTCACCAGCAACAGCCTAGCCTTTCAAGCCATAGTGCTGCGCGATGAAGATGGCCTCACAGCTGCAAGAGTGGCGTCCTCCCCGCATCCCTTGACTGCCTCCACCATCCCCGGTTTCTGACTTGGCACGAGCTCTATCTATGCATGGGTATCGCGTGTCTGGGGTCGTGAAGTTGTATAAGTAGAACGACGGTATCCACCAGGAGAGATCACCATCCAGCTTCGAGTCCCATCAGCTCCACGTTTAGGAGAAGTCTGGGTCTGACCCACAGCATCCTACTTTATCCTTTGGACATACCCACATTTGTCAAGCCACCTGGACATCGTCTCATCCTCGGACACGACCATCATGTCTCGCCGCAACAGCAGTGTCGTCGCTATCGACGCCGAACAGGCACGCCGCCTTTCACTCGCCGTCACGGACATCAAACAAGTCGCCCACGATGCCGGCAACGCGACTCGATCAGAGCAGCAGATGACCCTGCGCCAGGGTGTCAAGCTATACCCAAAGGCCATCGCCTGGTCCGTCCTGCTCTCCGCAGCCATCATCATGGAAGGCTTCGACAAGGTCTTGATCGCCAACCTGATGGCGGTTCCTGCCTTTAAGCAAAAGTTTGGCGAACAACTTGCAGATGGCACCTTCGAACTCACCGCTGCGTGGCAAGCGGGCCTCACAAACGGTGCATACGTTGGAGAGTTCACAGGTCTGCTCCTGAACGGTCTCATCGCGGATCGTTTCGGCTACAAGAAGACAATGATCGGCGCGCTCTTCGCTGTGAATTTCTTCATCTTCATCGTCTTCTTCGCGCAGAACATCACCATGCTTCTATGCGGTCTCATCCTGTGCGGTATCCCATGGGGTGTATTCCAGACCCTGACTTGCACCTATGCCGCCGAAGTCGTACCGGTGCCGCTTCGTCCAATTCTTACAACATACGTCAACCTCTGCTGGGTCATCGGTCAATTCCTCGCCTCTGGCGTTTTGAAGGGTGTAGCCGAGCGCCCCGACCAATGGGCATACCGCATCCCATACGCCCTGCAGTGGCTCTGGCCTGTCCCGTTGATGATTGGCATCTCGTTCGCACCTGAATCTCCCTGGTGGCTTGTACGGAAAGACCGATGCGAAGAAGCAAAGAAGATGTTGATGCGCCTCACATCACCCGAAAAGCTGCCTGACTTCAACGCCGATGAGACCATTGCTATGATGCGCCACACCAACGCCATGGAGATGGCGGTCTCTGAAGGTACTTCGTACTTGGACTGTTTCAAGGGTACCGATCTCCGCCGAACTGAAATCGCCGCCATGGCATGGTTTACGCAGGCCTTCTGCGGAGCAGGTCTTATCGGTTATTCAACATACTTTTTCCAGCAAGCAGGCCTTAGCGACGCGGATGCGTTCTCCATGAGTCTAGGACAATACGCAATTGGTGGCGTGGGTGTCTTCATGGCCTGGATCCTCATCCAACGTGTAGGACGCCGCACATTGTACGTGTATGGCGATCTCGCCATGGTTATGTTGTTGTGTATCATCGGAGGTCTCGGTTTCATTCCAGCCGGCAACGTTGGCGCGCAGTGGGGTATCGGCGCCATGCTCCTGCTTTTTGCAGCCGCATACAACTGTACGGTCGGACCTGTCTGTTACTCCATCGTCGCAGAGATTCCATCCACTCGTCTTCGCCAAAAGACTGTCGTCTTGGCCAGGAACTTCTACAACATCGGTTCTATCATCGGCAATGTTATTACTCCACGTATGCTCAACCCCGGTGCTTGGAATTGGGGCGCAAAGAGTGGTCTTTTCTACGCCGGAACGTGCTTTTGCTGCTTTATCTGGGCGTTCTTCCGTCTTCCCGAGCCAAAGGGCAGGACTTACGGAGAGCTCGATATCCTCTTCGAGAAGCGTGTCCCGGCTAGGAAGTTTAGCAGCACGGTCGTTGACAGCTTCCATTCCAGTGATACCGAGAGCGATTATACCGAGAAAAAGGGTGTCTCGGCCCATCTTGAGCAGGTCAACTCTAGGGATGCTATTTGAGCTGTGAGATCCGCCACGGAGGCTTTATGATTTGTAAATATTATGTGTGACGAATTATCGACTTGTCGTAAATGGAGGATGTATCTTTCATCGTAATAGAATATGTTTCTGCAGATGCTAGTGTGCTGTGATCTTACGCGGCCTCAAGCTTTGGTGCGGCAGCAAGCGTCGTGCGATTGTTGAGTCTACTGTGAAATTAAAGCAAGGGGGGCTCGCCACAATTGCCCATTTGCGGTCCGGCCTAGTCACGATTCAATAGTGGGGTACATAGGCCCGGGAGCGGTTCTTGCATTCCTTGCTGCTCGCTTACTTTCCCCAAACACAAACGTGGCGTTCCCTTCTTCCCATCATCGATGTAGGTGAGAACTTAGCAGTGCGGGTCCGGACTGCGTCGTATCACCACCGGGCAATTAGTCATCATTTCTCGAAATGCCCAATGTTGGCAGACCTTCTCCAGGTTGCAAGACATGTAGGGACCGCAGGATCAAAGTATGTAATGCACGCGTGAGTAGATACTTGGGCCACTAATCCGCTGTTCCAGTGTGACCAGAAGCGGCCTTCCTGTTCGCAATGTCTCCGTGCAGGCAAAGAATGCCATGGATACCGCGACGTGGCTTCCCTAATGTTCAAGAATGAGAGTCGCGTCGTGGCAAAGAAAGCGGAACAGCGTTACGAAGAGCTTGCCAAATCAAAAGAACCAAGAACACCTTTGGGGCGTGGAGAACCCAACAGGATCAGAAGCGTGCAGCGGATCTATCCGGTGCAGAGTCCGCCCAAGGCTGAGATCATGGCCTTGCAACCCACGCTGAATATCGACGCCCAAGCGCAAGGCTTCTTCCTCACCAACTATGCAGGCGCTGCCGATTTCCCTCAAGGAGGCCAATTCGAATGGATTCCCCAGCTGTTGTCACGGCCGAATATCGAGGGTACGCTTCGTGAGAGCTTCCGCGCCCTAAGTCTAGCAATCTTCGCCAATGCAGCGAAGTCTCCTGCCGTCATGCGAAAAGCGCGTATCGCATACGGTTCTGCATTGGAGGAAACAAACAGAGCGCTCATGTCGCACGAAGCCGCGGTCAAAGATAGCACTTTGGTTTCGGTCATCCTACTTGGCATGTACGAGGGCACGGTATACACAGATAAGAGTTCCATCGATAGGTGGTCAAAGCACGTCAGCGGGGCTTACACCCTCTTCATGTTACGCGGCAAGTCGCAATTCGAGACAGAACTTGGACGGCGAATATTCCAGCAGTCATACGGCGTCGCTCTATTCTTCACGCTTGAACTAGGGACGGGTATTCCAGGTTAGTCACAATCCTAGGCGGACTGCATGTAATACACGAACTAACATCGCACACCAATATCTAGAGCACTTGCAAGAGCTGTACGACAGCATCCCCCTGGAATCGGGATTCAACGAGCTTGTTAAAAAATTCATGATCGGCATTCTGCACGTCATGGACGCAGTCGTCAAACTCGGTCAAGACAAGAGCCGAGATCCCGTGGAAACAATCAACCGCGCGAGAAATCTCAGTCAAGAGCTAGAGGATATCAAGGCTCTTTTACCTGCAGCCTGGCATCCAACAAGGGTCCATCTTGATGTACCTTCAGTTCATTACTGTGGAAAAACATACAGCATCTGCCTCGTTCCCGTCATGGCGCAGTTGTGGAATTACACCCGGTTTATTGGAATTCAAGTACACGATATCATCAGAGCAAACCTGATGAGGGTTCGTGAGGAACAAACTTCCCCGCTCTACGACGCTGCCAGTTTAAAAGCATGTATACAGCATGAGGAGAATGTGCTACGAGCTAACGTTGCCGCAATCATTGCCGCAGTTCCCCAGACCATCGGCATGGTGCCATCCCCGGTCTTCTCTGCTGCTGGATTGGCCCCCGAAGATGAAACAAAGGATGGTCCTATCATGAGAGAACCGGGGACCTTTATCGATTCAGTCATCTCACCGAGACTAATGCAGCTCGTCCAGCCACTGTATGCAGTGGGTACGTGTGTGCTTATTTCGCATCAAATGCGGCAATGGGTCATTGGCATTCTCCATTTTGTTGCATTGAGGATTGGATCAAGACAGGCAGTCGTGCTCGCAGCTGAGCTGCAAAGGCTTCAGGCGTCAGCACCAAGTGTAGCACACGGTTGGCAAGACATAGCCGAGTGGCTCGCGCTGGGTCCCGGGGTAATATAGCTGTAAACGCAGAGCACAGCCCAGCAATTATATCAACACCACGGATCGCGACTGGCAATGATGAGCAGACAAGCGGAACAAAATATGATCTCGCACCGAACAACTCTTTTGCGCTCATACGCTCGTAATGAGTCTTGTAGTAGGAATTCTTCTTCAAGGCCTACAAGTCTTTCTTGTCATTCCTTGAGGCTTCACCAAATCCCACCCCTGCCATGAATGCTAGTCTGACCAGCCCTGCAAACGCCGTAATGCCTATACTTCCCCAATCCTCCGCCCGCCAGGTGCCTACGCTTAGTCTGCCCTGCTTTTCCAACACCTCCCAGACTGCCCAATAGTACGCCAGATCGACAACGAAGCACGACAACTGGACAATGCGCCAGACGTTCATGTCGTTCGTGTATCGTAGCAGGACAGCAGACATGATGCCGAAATTTAGCATGCCTCCGCCACGTTGCTTGAGGATCATGGCGTGGCCGATGTCTGGGGTTGGGGAGGGGATATGTGAAGAGAGAACGACAGTGGGCATGAAGAAGTCCATGGTTGCGCCCCAAGCGCAGATGATGGGGTCGAGGTATGTAAAGAATATGCGATAGAATGTAGGTATAGAGGGTGCCGTGGGCTGAGACATGTTTGCCGCTCGGTTGCAATGAATAGCTCTAATTCGATGAAGAGATGCGAACAGTGTATTGAGTAACGATAATCTGCGTGATGGTGTGGATGGTATGTGTTATGCGTATCCTCGGTGCTTGAGCAGATGTCAGCTTTGGACCCCGCGCCAGTGGGTCTAGCTGCTTCTGTGCTGCATCGATGGCACAGAAGACTAGGTCGCTTGTGACTAGGCTCGTATACCAACAAACCCGTGCTGCAGACCTGCTGCACCTTAAATCCTTCAGCTTCGATCTTCTGTTGCAGTGACGCGTGAGGTCGACTACCACACCTGGGCGGTATCGCAACCTGCCGTCCGTGCCTGCCTGCTACCTGGATGTTCTCCATCGCACAGAGATGGCCCCATCTGCATAATACATCGCATTAATTTGGGCGAGGCAGCAACAATCGATGCTTCCAACAACTTCTGATCGGAGCCGGTCCCGTGTGGTGGATCCCCAGGCTGCTAGCGCGGATCCCGAGTGTTGTGCCTGGGATCCACGCCGTCACGCCATGACCTAACACAACAGCTGGAAGCCGTTGCAGACATCCGCGCCTCGCAAACATTCACCCACTCCAAGCATGAACACACTGCGCCGCTCGACTTTGGGGGCTTGTCTCAATCTGTGACAACACCTCGTACCTGTTAGATCTTCATTGTTGCTCGTCCGGGGCCGTTCCGTCTCTTGCACTCGCACGGCGGTTAGTCGAAACTGCTGAATGGACGCATCCATGGCTCATGCAAGAGGCGCCCCATTGATTAAAAATATTCCCGAAAGCCGTCATGGAAACCTGGAGCTTGTGATCGCATGGCAGAGTTCACGTCCTCGTCGTAGCCCGCTGCGCGAACGGTGAGGCTGTGGGTGCAGACGGGCTTCGCGACGCGACCTGATCCTCAAACCTCGGAACCATGATGGATGCACACGATGCATCCACCAGCGATGGCACGCGCTCGACACCTGGGCATTTCCACAGCCCCCAAAGCCGTCGCTACTGCTAGTGAATTACGTCGGTGCAACACAGTCGCGAGCGCTACCTGGCTATCTAGGTCGTTGATGCGCGGCCCAAGGCATCCTCAACAAAGTGGACATCATCAGAATGTGCCACGCATGAAATAGATGTTTATGCGGTCAGAAGCTTAACTCGAAGCGTATTACTCCTTTCATTCCAGTCAGCCTTATAACGGTTCGAGGTCCAGATATTGACTGGTAGTTACAGGGTTCGCGCGCGCCGTACATCATGGCTGAGTAACGTCAGTTCTCGCTACTCCACCACTACGGACCGATGCTGCCTACGGCTTGAGCAAGTTCACCAGGCTTGCTATTACATTAATTATCCCTGGCAGCGAAGCTTCTCGTGTACAGCGTGTCGGCACGGATTCGGGTTTGCATGGAAGTAGCATTCCTGCTGCAAGCTGGATCACGAGCCTCGCCTCCGCTGCGGTGCGCCAACGCCGTGCCTTGCATTATCACTGCGACTCAGCCTGCGATAGCTGAGCTTGACCATTTAGCGGCATTTCTGACATTAAGGTCCGGCGGCAAAACGAGATAATTCTCTGGAGAAGGCAATTCCTTGATCGTCGGCCGCCCCTAATTTAACCGCGTCGGGTTAAAGCTTTCATCGCTTCGCCTCAAGCAGACTGGGCATTGGGTCTACCGATGCAATGTCATTGGTGCACAACGAGGAATGCTCGTGAGCAAGTGGGTATTATGACAGTTATGCTGGCCAAAAGCAGATGATTGACGCGATAAAGACACCAACGTGCACGGAATCGCGGCAAATGTCCGTGGTCACCCTACCGCACTCGTTCTAGTAAGCCAGGCAGTACTGCGGCGTTGACAGATTTCCTGCCCTACTTTCGGTTCTCCCCGAGCAAGCCACATCCGCTTCACACGTACGAATGCCTTACGGCACGGAAGGCCTACTCGTTAAGCGCCGTCGCGAGATGGAGGACATGCTCTGCCTACACGATGGATCAACTAAGATGGTGGCGTGGAGCTGGGGGAGTTGGTTTGATATATAGCTCCTTACTGGACTTTTAGTATGAAAGTACCCCATAACGAAGATTCTCCATGTCAGCAGAGCAATTCTCAAAGCTCTCTCTCGGAGAGGATATGGTTACCACTCGTGCCGGGGCCGCAAGGGCCGCAAGAGCTAGTACACAATCATCGGGGCATTCTGAGGAAGATCAGCCCATACCATCCGTCGAGTCCACCGTTTCCCCTACGCCTTCCCTGGTTATATCAACGAAGAACCTTCATTACAATGTCTCGGCCTTCGACACCGACCTACGAAGGCGGGCCAAAAGAGGACTGGAAGGTAGCGATATCAGGCTCAAGTACTGCGCAGTCTCGGAAGATGATTATAGCCCGAATGGCAGCCCAAAGAAGTTCTTCCATCTTGACGACGACATCATTGTGGCGATGGGTGGGAAGTTACGAAGACCTGAGTGTACGTGTGGCGCAAATGAAAAAGGTCTCGCGTGCAAGGTACGCTCTCGCATACACAACCATTGACGCATCACTAAAAGTAGCCCCAGCATATCTATTGGGTCGGAGACCAGATCATCTCAACTTCTCCAGACGATATGGTCAAGACGCCTCTTCACCTTTCTCCCGATGGCTCGAAGATCGAAGACGTCAAGCCTGCGGAACTACTGGACACCAAAGGCTTAGCCAATATCGCCAACGACCTGAAGTGGGTTTATCGGGATGACAATCTGCCTGAAGACGAGGACTTGAAGGAGACAGTCATTGATATGTTTTCATGCTACGAGCCACAAGATGCACTTCCTGGAGAGTTTCAATATCCCGAGTCGCCTCTTACTTCCGAACGGTCCAAGAAGTACCAGGAGTTGACAGAGCTCTTTACGCAGTACGCAAACTGGTATCCCAGCCTATATCTCCAAATGCGCAAGATCATCGACCCGGACTTCGAAAGCCGTGTCTTCTTCGAAAAGATCGACAAGCGCATTACTTCCACCTTCGACGCTTTGGATGAGTACATAGCCAAGGGACCATACAACCTCTCTCAAGGCCCCCCTCGGTTCGACGTCTCCAGTTGTGCACAGAAGTTGACATCACTAGTCAAAGCCATTGATGACTTCTATCAACGCCATGCTGACGTCGAGGACGTGGCCGTCCGAGCAGCGGCGGCTCTTGTTACGATTCTCGACCGTGTTACGGACCGCGATAAGAATGCATATGAAGGCGTCAAGTGGAGTGTGATGGAGGCCCTATCAGACCCTGTTCAAAGCAACCTATACGTTGCGTTGATTGGAGCAGCATCAGATGACGACCCGCCATTTGTTCTCGATGCACTCGGGTCATTGCCTCAGGAAGACGTATACCGTAATCATTGGGCAATGCTACAAGACATCGAACGCAAGCTAACAGATTCTCATGCGCCCACTCATTACATGGCTCTCTTCCGCAATGTCGTCTACGAGAATCGCAAGAGGTCGGGTTCGGAGGTACACGAACGAGAATCGAAGCGAGCAATGCAGTAATGTCAATCTGCAAGCGGCCTACCTCGTGCTCGACACAACAGTTGAGTTGGTATGTAGTCGTCCCACTTTTCCTTTTGGTCTGGCGTTGGCGGCTTTGTGCACTTTTTCCATTCCTTTCTCTGTGACTTTTTGCACCTTTTAATACCTTCATGTCTTTCCTTACGACGTTACGGTTGTCCGCACGCTAGTTGAATTCTTCATTTGGATACTCAAGGTCGCCGGACTTCGGTCTGTATTCGCTGGCCTTTGTTATGTTGCTTTCTGTCTTTCCTTCAGGCCACCCGATTTCGGTTTTTAGGTAACCGAATGATTCTATGTATCTCCGATTCTTTCCTTTGCCTTTTTTTTTGACCGGTTGCTTGCGGAGCTTTTGATGTTGCCGTGCTTTTAGCCGGGCACAATTGGTGTACCACTTTCTCTTCTCTACACTCCTTGTATCCATAGTTTACACAAACACATTTATACAGCGGTCCATCGTCGGCGCCGTACGCTGCAAATCCATCATTGTCCGCATAGTGCGAAGTAGAACGAGCTCACTCAAATTGAAAGGTCAATGCGTAATTGGTTTTAGCATAGTAAACACAAAAGCGGTGGAGTGCGCCCCCTAGACTGCAGATCTCAGCTGATACCGGCTCCGCATTCATACAGTGCCAAGCTCCGATATGTAGAAGGATTCCGCGGAATTGGGAGCGTGGCCGATGGCTGACTGACTCAAGACGAGACCGGACCGAACGAAGTGGATCTGGCGCAGTTCGTAGCTGAGCTTCGCATGCTGTAGGCTCTCGCGCTTTGTTAAGCGTAGGAGATAGACTGTCCCCATGCACCATGAGATCCATGTATCTGTAACACTAAGTGCTAGACCAAGCTTCATCTCGGTGTGGATGTCGGGAGTCTGCATCTTGTCGCATTCAAGACAACAGGTCGGCACCGGAGGTCCACAGCAGCCAATCATGCATGGCCCAGTTACATGTCGTACAACGACTCTGTCATCTATACGTGTAACTGGCCGCTTATCCAAACGCTAAGTTCGTGGAACCCATCTGGCCTACACACGATGTGGCCCAAGTGGGTGTCGTTCATGTTGCGCGCATTTGGGCTTCGAGATAGTGGGTGTTGCTCCAGTGTGGGAATCAAGAAATCCACAAACTAGCGACAAACCTTCCCCTTCTGCTCGCGCTCACTGGAATGGCGCATATGACGCTTACTGTATATTCCCCGCAGTATGCGACGTCTTATGGAGGCTGCTTTTGTCAGAAGTTCCGCAGGCTCCGCACAACCTGGACCTGCATCCAGGACCCGCCACCCCACAGAAGGCGGTTGCATGTAGCAGACACCCGCTCCGGGAAGATTCCGAACAGATGCGGACATGATATAGGCGCCGTCGGTTCGATCTGTGCAGAGCAAGTGCCATGACTATGTACACATGGACTTAAACATGTGAAGCACCCAGGTGGCGAGATAGCTCATACCAAGCTCATGCTAGCTAGGAACTTACCGTGTCGGTGCTGATCGCGATAGTCGTTGTGGGCACTGAGGGTGGGTCAAAGGGCTCGACTGCGGGGAGTGCAGCGGCTAGGCTCGAGTTGCCCTCGAATGTGGTTGGATGTCAGATGAAAGGGCCACGCATCGTGCATCCACGTTCTGCGGGGAAGGGATTGACGCTAAGCCGCTCGCGGCCCTAGCGCAGATGGGCATCCTTTGGCAAGCGCAGCCAAGCCACCCAGTGTTGCTTCCATATTACTCTCCTGTCTATCATTCCTGCTCCTCTTCTTTTCGACCTTCTTCTCTTGTCTTGTTGCAACATCGGACACGTGTTCTGCTAGTCTATCCTACACTACGCGGTTTCCCTGCGGCGAACGTAAATCGCTTATCACGCCATCAACCCCCGCTGACTGACGTACTACACCCCGTCCGTGCGCCTAGCGACTTATCAACCATCCCACCCCTTGCTTTGTTTCTCTACGCACCCCATCTTGATTTGCTCTACGCGCACGACCCCTCAACTCAATTGAGCACTTCATACAGACTCTGAACCTCTCTTAAACCTCGTTGCCACGCCCATCATGTCCTCCAATGACCGGAACTCTCCCCCGCTCGCCTCGCCGGACCCTCGCCGACGTGCTTCAGTGACCAGCCAGACGTTCCAGGACCTGTTCGGCCGGTCAAGCGGCTATGTAGGCCAGCAATCCGGGGGACAGGCTGCCACGGGCCCCATCACGACAGCTGCTGCCAACGCTCAGAGACGGCGGCTTTCGCTCACCACTATCGGTCTGGGTGCTTCGCCTGGCCAGACGTCCCCATTCCTCCAGACCCCGCGAACCCGAACCGAGAGCATCTCCAGCGCCAACTCTGGCTCGGTCGACGAGAGCCCCTTCGAAGATGACTACGCCCCTTCCACATCTGCTAGCAGCAGCAACCCAGCCACACCCTTTGCTCGACGGCTGAGCTTCGGAGCTCGTGCAATGCGGGATGTTAGGCAGAGCAACGGAGGCGTTGGGAACCCAAATGGTAGACCACCCATCCATAAAGCTTCCTCTCCCCCGACTGGTCGAGGTCGAGGTCTGTCTTCATTGTCACAGTCATTGCCCTCTTCCGCTACCCTGCTTTGTCCCTTTACCCATGCACACTCGCGGCGATCTACTTCCATATCACACATCTGGCCCTCCACCATTGCAGAGCAGTCCGAGAACATACTTGGAAACTACTCGCTAACGTCGTCTTCAACAGGCGAAGGTTACAATTTCGCTGAGAACCTCCGATCGCGAGCCGAGCGAGGCTCCATCTCCGGGCCCCCTCCCATGCTGAGCCCTTCCGGTCCGACGCACCAGCGTGCTAAGAGCGTTACGATCATGGAGCCACCCGTTCGTGAGATGCCCAAGCCTAGGGTGCCTGATGCCATGCAGGAGCGGATCCTCAAGGGCGATTTCTACATGGACTAGCTTCTCTACATGACTTGACATTTAGATCTCCGGTAGGTCATATCGTTCACATCCTTGCTTTGTAGTGGCTAATCCCCACGATCTATAGGACATCTACCTCATAGATGAGACGTCAGACTCCTTCACAATCGTGTATCAGTACTCTACCGCCTACGAAACGGAAACTTTCATACTCCAGAACAACCCTATACCAGGTCTTCGTATCGCTCATGGCCATGAGCGATCGAAGGATTATAAAGACAGCTTTCGTGGAAACCAGGCACGTAACGGCGATTACTGCGTCTGGCACCATCATAACTCGGAAAGCATCGTCATGTGCAACTATCACTACTGGAAGCATGCACTACGATCGTTTTACCAACGTCTTTCTCTGCCGACTTGGGCAGATTGCATTCCACGACGTGGACTTTATGGCGTTTTCACCTGATTATCTCGAACTCGTATTTCATGTTCCAGCAGTTCAGGCGTACGGTTACGATGAATGAACGAAACCAGATTGTCATGCTCACGCGATGAGGCTACATCAGTGCAGCAGGGGTTAGGAGTTTATGAAGCATATCACGCAGGATGGAGGTCAGCACTTTTGGTATCAAACATGTACCAAGACAAATTGCAGATAGCAGAGCAGTTTAGTGCAGCATCGTACAAAGAAATGAATAATTGACCAAACTGATGCTGGCATCCCTTGCGCTTAATGGTGTGTTGGTATGCGTCATCAGTCCCACTTTATGTTTCAAGTATACTGATCGACGTTGGGTCGTACGCGTGGAGGAATGTGGGATGTCGATCGTTGAGTCCACCTGAGCTGATAACGATTGGACGTGCAGCAGGTCTGGTTGCGAAACAACATGAGAAAGCGAGTGCAAGTCAAGATATCGCTCGCACAGCTCTACCAACGCTACCGGTCTCAAAGAGTTCAACTAAGCCAGCACCTAGACATTCCTCCAAGACCCACTCAAACCTCATCCCATAGAATGTCTTCCATTTCTTCGTTCGCCCAGGTAGTACGCCTGCAAACTCGCCCCTCAATTTCTTCCTCTCCGCTTTGATATCATGCGCCGCGACATTACCGTCCCATCTCTCACGCAGGACATCAAGTGGCATCTCTCTATGCTTTGTCTTCTTCAGCAGAGTGAGTAGGTGGTTTCGTGCATCAACCAGCAGCTTAATGTGTGTGCCCATGTTGGGCAGGGAGAAGTTGTACTGTGCTGCTACGGATGGGCGGGATCCAGATAATGAAGTGCCGCCGTGGATGTGCTGGGTTGCTTGCGTGCCGCCGACGGCGTCTAGAGAACCGGCTGCGTGGCGGGATCCGGATGTGGAGACGGCGAGGAGTGAGCTGGCGCCCGGAGAGGCGAAAAGCGAGGTGTGGGAAGGGTAGTTTGAGGCCGAGGTGAGGAAGCCAAAGGTTACTAGGGCGGATAGCTGGGGAGAGGTGAAGGTTGTGCCGGGGATGGATGTAGATATCGGGTTGGTGTTCATGGCTGTTATGTATTTTTCTGATGCTATGTCAGTGACAGATAACAGGGTGGTTGGCGAATTTGATTACCTTTCAGATCTTCAGGTAGCTCAGCATGAGATTGCACGAGGTTCTGCCACTCTCTCACCGAAGCAATACCATCACCCACTGCAGCAGCACCAACCCCCCGATTCGGTATCGTCACCCTTCTCAGGATACCTGCTCTGGCTAGCTCAGCAATTTCCCGCTCAATCCGCGTTGACGAGGTGCTGAGTGCGTCGATATGCGCTACCGTGACAAACGGTGGCAATCTTCTCCGAAAATCCAAAACCTCTGCTATCCTGGTCGAGTTCATACCGGCCTTCTCTGGCATGTCGCTAAACATCCTGTTGCGGATGTACTCCATGTACTGTGGGACATCGCGAAAGTTTAGGTCATCGGAAAGAGAGGCTATCACACCGGTATCATCTAGTTCCTCGTCATCATCAAAGGGAGTGGTAGTGTCGTTCGGTAGCGACCGCCTTTTTGAACTCGCTGCTGAGGGTAATGAAGTTGTTCGTTTGAGACCCAGTGCTGCGACGGCACTTTTTCTTCTTGGCTTGGTGATGCGAGACGAGTGTGCTGCTGTAGCTTGGAAGGACATGTTTCAGGTTTCGCTCTCCAATAGGAACAAGTAACACGAACTGTCAGTCAGGAGACATATGCTCTTTGCGCTTGAGTTGCAGATAAGGAAAGAGCATCATGGCAGCGCAGTAAGAGCATGTCTTGATATTGACGAATCAGGAAGTGGCAAACATGTGAGACGCGGTGTCGAAGGCTTCGAGGCCGCGGTGGAGCATGCGCCACACCCTCGCTTGTTGGCTAAGTAGGAGCGAGCAGCTGGCATGGAGAAGGAACGATGGGGTCATAGAGAAGCAGGTAATCTGTCTGCATCGAGCGAAATGGATTAAAGCGACGGACTGTTAGAGGCGTGCACTTTGTAATTGATGGATCAAAGTGTTGAGAGGTGGCTGTTGATGTTCCTGTTTGTCGGCTTCCTGCCGGGCCGTGGAAAGAACCACGCAGCCACCGAGGTACGTCATTTCCACGCGCGGAATGTCAGGAAGGTCCAACGCACGCTATGCGCGCCAACAAAACCCAAAACATGCCCATTGCACCCACCCTACGAAGCATCTCCCCCCAACTGCTCCCGTCCCAGCCCATCGCTAGCCATGTCGCTGAATCCCGAGCCCTCGGCGCCTGAAGAGCGGGCTGAGCACCATCTGCCGCCCAAGTCGTACGCCGACGCCGCCGAAGAGGCCCTGGAGCCCCAGCAGCCACAATCACATGCCAACGGCACCGACGGCACCGCCGAACACAACGGGAAGAAGATTTTGGGCAAGGCCAATGAGGTAAAGACCAATGGCGTCAAGGTCCCCTCTGAAGAAGACAAGACATCGCTCGAAGGCGTGGGTCAGGAGCCCCGGAGTCCAACAGTGAAGGGCCATCGTCGCGTCTCATCGCGCGGCTCTCACGGGTCGCTCGGCCGCAAACAGGGCGAGCAGGCACAGAAAGACATGAACGGAGCACACACGAATGGAAATGGCAAGGGCAATGGCGATGTGCTGACGAGTGTGAAGCCGCAGCAGGAGTTTCAGGTCGCCAAAGCAGACCGCAGAACCGACCTCAAGCGCAGAAACTCGGAGCTCACCACAGGACGACAGGCTGGCGCGGGATGGTCCCAGAGCAAGTAAGTTGACATGCTCCTCATTCAAGGCGTACAATGCTGACCGTCGCAGAATACGCTTTGCGCCCATGAACGTCCCCCTCCAGCGCCGCCTCCAGACCCTCGCCGTCCTCATGCACACGCTCAGCATCGTCGGCGGCCTTGCCATCTTCTTCTTCCTATGCAGCATACCCCTGCTCTGGCCCATCCTCCTGCCGTATACCATCTACGTCCTCTTCTCCAACGCGGGCACGTCGGGCGAGCTGTCGTTCCGCAGCGACTGGTTCCGCCGGCTGCCCGTCTGGTCGCTCTTCGCTTCATACTACCCCGCCCGCCTACATCGCTCCCAGGAGCTGGAGCCTACTAGGAAGTACATCTTCGGCTACCACCCACATGGCATCATCTCCCATGGCGCCTTCGCTGCCTTTGCAACGGAAGCGCTTGGCTTTTCGCAGCTCTTCCCTGGCATCACCAACGCCCTGCTGACCCTCGATTCCAACTTCCGCTACCCCATCTATCGCGAATACGCCCTTCGTCTCGGCATGGCCTCCGTATCTCGCGAGTCCTGCGAAAACACCCTCTCCAAAGGCGGTTATAACAACGAAGGCATGGGCCGCGCCATCACCATCGTCGTGGGCGGCGCTCGTGAATCCCTCGATGCGCGCCCCGGTTCCATAAAGCTCGTCCTCAACCGCCGCAAGGGCTTTGTCAAGATGGCCATACGCACCGGCGCCGACCTCGTCCCTGTCCTCGCCTTCGGCGAAAACGACGTCTACGACCAACTCGATACCGATTCGCATCCCTACATACACAAGTTCCAGATGCTCGTCAAGAAGTTCATGGGCTTTACGGTACCCATCTTCCACGCGAGGGGTGTCTTCAACTACGACGTAGGCATGATGCCGTACCGGAGACCCATCAACATCGTTGTCGGTCGCCCGATCAGGGTGATGCAGGACACGCACCCAGACAACGATTACATCAACGAGATACATCAGCAATACGTCGACGAGCTGATGCGCATCTGGCACGAACACAAGGACACTTTTGCCAAGCACAGGACGGGCGAGCTGGAGATCGTCGAGTAAGCATCACTGAGCTGCTTTCCTTGCAATGGCTGTCACGATGCTGTTTTTTCCCTTCTGTGTTGTATTGTGTATTGGATCGTAATTGGGTAGAGCCTGAAAGGCGCAGACACGAAATAGCAGTCCTAGCCCTTTGAATAGCAATGATAGATCATCATCATCAGCATTCCCATTGATCCTTGGCATGGTATCATGGCAAACGCAAACTCGCCTTATATGAAGTCGTAAGCAATGTCACTATACAAGTTGATCAGGTTGAGACATGGACGTTTCTTGAACTTCTAAATCGATATTCCAGAGTAATAACTACAACGAAAAAGACCGCAAAGGAAAAGCACAACTGTGTACGATAAAAAACACGAAATAAACGCCACCCAGCATTAAACATTTTCTGGGTATTGCATGTCCCAGTCGACCAACAGAGCTTTAGTCATCAGTCTGTTGAGAAGTGGCTCATGCGTGCCGAAGGATGCGTGTCCTTCCTATCCTCATCGGTGGAGAACGCCTTCAACTTGTACTCCATCACCGTGGTGGAAACACCTTTGCCCTTGTCGTTGCTGGGGCGGCCGCTACTCGGAGTACTTCCATTGAGGGTGCTACCATCAGAGGCACGGTTTCCCATGCCGTTCTCCACATCACCGCCGTCCTTCTTGTCGTCCGCAGTGGCGTTGACAGCGCGGCCAGTAAAGAGGTCCTCCGGGAAGGGGAACAGCGTGCGACGTCTCGGTGGCGACTTCTTCGTTGCTGTCATCCATACCAATGCCGTCATGTCTTTACCCAGCGCCTCGATGATGGGCGTGACGATGGGGAGACAGGCGAAGAGCACACCGTAGGATGTTATGCCGACAATGGTCACGTTGATGCCGTAGCTGAATCCGCGCTCGGCAAGTGCGACCATGAGCCAGGATCCGTATGTCCAAAAAACAAGACCGTGGAGCAGGTAGATGGTGAAGACGTGGGGGAAGAGCACAAGGAAAGGAGGCGTGGAGAGGACCCATTGTACCGCGGCGGAGAGCTCGACAATCGCTTGCATGCCGCCTGCGAAGAGCACACCGTTGAGACGCGGCGTGTAGTATGGCGGGTAGCCTGCCTGGTCTGTGTCCTGAATGGCTACGCCGGTTACAGGGTCGGGGTGGATGCCGCGTTCCGCAGTCGAGAAGTTGAAGTCCGTGTCGACCCAGTTAGGAATGACGTTGACGGCGAAACTGGCGCCGACGCAGGCCCAGAAGAAGGTGATGGTGGCGTAGTATGCTCCCGGTCGTGTGGCCAGGAACGCTTTCCACTTGTAGGTCACGTCGAGGTCGGTAAGGAGCAGACCGAGCCAGAGGTATGTGCCCCAAGACTGAGCGTACCAGTGGTTGATGAGGCAGAAGGCGTAGTAGCACATGCGCTTCCATGGTGTCTTGATCTCGTAGACTACGACAGCACCGAGAAGGACGAGCCAGGAACCTTGGAGTTGCACGGCGATGGTCCAGAGGACACCGGTACAGTAGTGCAGAGTGATTTGCGGGACGGCGTTGGGGACGAGGAACATGAGTTCGAGAACTTCAGAGATATACTGGCCGAAGTTGTTGTAGCGGCTCACGTAGGGCCAGGTCGACCAGGTCAGCGAAGGAATGTATTGCAAGAACTTGGTCGCGCCAACGTCAATGAAGAAGTACTCCAGTAGGGCCATCGAAGCGACAGGAATCATAAGACGGGGTGTTCGGCGTACGGCTGCCTTGGCGATTTCATCCATCTTGCCCTTGCGCAAGTAAGGTGCGGTCAAGAAACGGACGGAGGTTGTGAAGAAGACACCAAGCCACATCTGGTTGAGCAAGAACGGACCGATGATTCTTTGGGCCCATGGCTCAGACGCGTTGTGTGCATCTGCACCAGGTGTGACGATGGCAGGGACGAAGGTAAGACCAAAATGCATCAGGGTGACCACGAGAGAGCAGAGCGCCGTCAGACCAGCAAGATGGTCGATACGTTGTCGCTGAGGCAGAGGCTGAGGGCGCATACGAGGAGCTGGTAGTGCGGACTCAGTGACGGTCTCCATTGTAATCTTGTCGTGGGGAGCGATCATGGGAACGGATGGGGTCATGGTGGCGCGCGGGTCCATCAAGGTGAGCATGGAGTTGCGATCTCTTGAGATGGCTGTGCCTGGAGTGCCTGGGGTCATCATTGATGCGTGAGGATCGACCATAGTCAACATAGAGTCGCCTCCTCTTGACACTGCCGTTCCAGGCATCGGTGGCATAGGTAGGTAGAGATCCTCGCGCGTAGTGTTGAAGTTGCTGTTGAAAGGAGTTGGCCCACGGCTATCGAAGAATACCGAGTTCGGTCTGGAGAGACCATCCTTGGGTGTAGAGCCACCGAGAGTCGAGGTACCGGGGAGTCTCTCGATCGCCATATCGTCGTCGTCTGAGTTGCGCTTTTCGGAAGCGGAAGGAGTTTTCTGGTCGACACCACCACGAGAGAAGATCTCGTGCGAAGCCACTGTGAAAGTGCTGTCGCTGAATGGATTCTTCTTTTCGTCTTCGGACTCTTTTGGCTCTGTGGAGGAGGCTGGGGTAGGTTTCGGGGCTTCACTCTTGAGCTTGGGAGCAAGACGTCGGATGAGGGCGTGGATGATAAGGACGGTCGAGAATATGATGCATGACACGGAGAGCCAGAGTGCCGGCATGCGCCTGATGTCTTTGCCTTTGTACTGCTCCCATTTTTCTGTTGCGTCATCACCATATGGCGTAGAACCGCGGAGTTCAATGTCGTCCATCGAGCACGCATCAGTCAATGGGCACCTGGCGACGAAATCCTCGCGAGCATCTACGCTCATTGTAGAAGAGTTGAAAAACATTCGGATCCAGCCAACTTCGGCAACAGACTCTGTGCGTTCAGGCGGACCACGCATGGAGTAGCGGTTACCGGTTGACCAATGCTTGAAGAACATGGCCGAGGGAACAGAAGGCATGCCACCGTTGTTCTTCTGTAGGACCTGCCTAGTGAGGTTGCCACCGATGTAGAAGTTGATGTAGTCTGCAGTCCAATCGATCCTGTACTCGGTGAACTCCCATGGGTTGATGCTACCATTGCTGAGGCCACCACCAAGGGTAGTGTAGTTACGGTTCGCAGCCGTGCTGTTTAGAAGCTGGCTGTAGTTCATTCCGAGGTTGCGCGTAGTGAATTCGTTGTTGACAAAGGTGCCCACCCATGGGTCTCGTCGGTTGTTCATGTTCATGACACTGAGCTCGGTGATCTCGGTCTCATTGTACTTCCACATCATGGATGCCGCTGTGCCCGCAGAATCCATGTCTGCAGACTTGAGTAGAGTGCGGAAAGAGCCATGCTGGATGTCGCGTCGCTTTGTCCGCAGACTAGCACCTCGAACGAGATGCTCGGCAGTCGAAGGTTCAACAACAAGCTGAAGAGAGTCGTTGTTGAATCTGAGATTGTCGGGAGAAGCGCCTTCGCGATAGACAGCATTCTGGGAAGCGTTAGCTATGGACTTTCAGGCAGATGCACGGCAGACGGACCCAATCCTTTGCATACTTCTGAGCAAAGTCTTCGGCGATGAAGTCGATCGGTAATTGGGTAGTCTCGTTGAAGTAGACGATGATGGAGTCGGTAAAGAGCTCTGATGTCTGGGTGTCGTAGAAACCGCAGGTACAATTGTCCTGCCCACGCGTGACATCAGCAAGCGCAGGCAAGATATGCACAAGGGCAAGACTGAGCAAATGAGAGGAAAACATGCTGATGAGAGAGAGTGACTGAACAGAAACAGGGACAGATCCGCTGCTCAAGTCAGAAAGGCAGTATTTGTCTGCGACATATGCATGCAGCTAGCTGTGCAAGGCCTGTGTAAAGACCCCGGCCTAAGCTTGCAACACTGCTCTCCGGACGGGGAGGAGCCGCCTTGCTTCTCCGATCAGCATTGGCATCAGGTTGACGGCGTTGCAAAGTCCCCTATCTTGGACAAAGTCTTAGCCTGCTTCATGAGGGTCATGATCGGAGCGTTGCCTCAGCGGGGAGCGCGCGGCCCTGCAACAAGGCCAAAAAAGGTATGCAAGCTTTGCTTGGCAGGCCCGTACTTGATAGCAAGCAGAATGGACGTCGTAGCATGGGGCTAACTAGCCGCCGTAGGACGTGCAGACGAGAAGGTTGAGGAAGATGCCGTGCCCGCGCTGTCGGTGGGTCGGAAACGTGCGCCGCACTCCTGCCCGTGCATCGACGCTAGCACAGACGTTTCCTCCCAATGCATCCCGCGCTCGTTCTGCCTCAACAAACCCGACGAAACTTCATCACCATCCCAGTTTCGATCATTGATCTTCGTTGCCAGCATCGACCGATATCAGCCGTTTCCGGAAGGCGACAAGGGTCCGCATCACACTGCCAGTCCCAGCCGTGCTTCATGCGCTCAGCACGCCGCAGCGGGAACCCATTGTCGTGTCAATACCCAGTGCAGTGTCCCGTCTCTCAGCTTCTGCAGGCTGAGTGGCACCGTGGACACCGGATGCCAGGAAAATGCACCGCAAGATAGCGGCTGGCATGTGTCCCTCCGATGTTCCTTCCCCAACCCGCCCAATCCTGCATGTTCGTTGACGTCGACCAAACTGCGGTCAACTGGTAAAAAGCACCTGGTTGGCCCGCCAGACTTGTGGACGTGGGTTTGACATGTGACTTGGCATATTCACCATTCCCGACCTGTCGAGCTGTACCGGGGTCGACATGGCCAACGTGCAGGCCGACCCACTCCAATCTCATTATCACAACTTGGCGCTGTTGATGCTAGGTAATGCTGATCTCAGTTGAGCACGAAGCTTGCATGGAGACCAGCTCCCACGGGCGGTAATCACGGTTTCAACATGAACCCTTCGGCGGTTTTGCCCCTTCTACAGTCGCTGCGTGTCGGCTACGGTGTTTACCATACGCACTAAGCAATTGTGCAATCAAGGGCCGAATATATGTTCTGTATCCGCTCCTTGTCAGTAGTCTCACCCCCTCCATCATAGTCACCATTCGCTTTGACTACCTCTTCCATCGTTACTGTCACATCATACACTCGTTTCAAGATGTCTGACACCACGAAGGACTGCGTAATTGAGGTCGGGGAGGTCACTTCTCCTACGGCTAACGAGAAGTCGGTCGCCAAAAATCCTTCCATCGCTACTGAGGCAATCGGTCGGACATCTTCCTGGATCTCTGAGTGGACGCCCTTCGGTCTGGTCGCCTCCTACTACGTCTTCTCGGTATGCCTCTACATGTACTGCAGCAACGGGCTGATTGCCATCTTCTGGTTCATATACATGTGCACCAACTTTTACATTGCCGGCACAACCGTCTTGGAGGCCTTCTTCAGTATCACGCCCTGCCGTGAGGCAAGAGCAATCGTCACGCAAGCGCAGGAGAAGCAGTGGCTATTCCCCACGCCACACCACAAGCTACCCATCCTCGATCTTCTCATCGTCGCCTACCTACCCAATGAGCAGGACATCATCATGGACCGCGCTCTTTACGCGCTTGAACAGCTCGATTACCCCTCTGACAAGATCCGTATCGTCATCCTCTACAACACCCCCAAGCCAATCGAGCCATTGGAGACTGAGCTGCATCAACTTCCTATGCGCTTCCCCCACGCAAGGGTCATCAAGGTACCCAACTCGACTTCCAAGGCAGACAATCTCAACTACTACTTCACGCTGGACACTGGATCTGACATCATCGCCATCTACGATTGCGACCACTACCCTCATCCCAACTCACCCCGATGGGCCGCTGAGCGATTCGTTGCCGAGAAGGATGTCGACATCGTCCAAGGCCGCTGCATCATCTTCAACTCCGACGACAGCTTCATGACCAATATGATCGCAGTCGAGTTCGACAAGATTTACGCTGTCTCTCATCCCGGTCGTTCTACTATGTGGGGATTTGGTCTCTTCTGTGGATCCAACGGTTACTGGCGCACATCGCTTCTTCGCAATCTGAAGATGGACGACACAATGCTTACTGAAGACATCGACTCTGCACTTCGCGCATTCTCCAAAGGTGCCAAAACCGTTCATGATCTCAATGTAACTTCCTACGAGCTGGCCCCCACAACCTTCAGCGCATTCTGGAAGCAACGTCTCCGGTGGGCTCAGGGCTGGGCTCAAGCGAGTATGCGACACATGAAGATGGTTTGGAATGGCGTCAAGGATCCCTTGCACGAAGAGCATGCCAAGCGCAGCTTCACTGCCCGCTTCGGTGTTTTGTCGCTATTACTCATTCGCGAGTCCTCGTACTATCTCGTCACACAGTACACGTGTTTAGTCGCATCATTCGTTATCGTCAAGTTCCCGACGTCCGGGGAGGAGCTCTGGAAGCTGGTCTATTTCCAGTACCCCGTATCACAGTGGCTTTTTATTATCAGGTTCGTACAGCCCTCGACGTAATCTTGTACCTCGCTAACGGTGTCGTGTCACAGTATTGTCTGCTTGATTGCTACTCTTTGGATCACCAACCAGGTCAAATCCGAGTACATCTCCAGAAGGATGATCATTCTCTTCTCGGTTCTGTACCCGTTTTACCTGGTTCTCAACGCCACAATCGGTCTTTACGGCCACGCTCGCCAGCTTGTCAAGTACAGCTCCTGGAACCCAACAGCTAGGAAGTAGGGCCACACCATACCATATTATCTTCTTAATTTTCTTTATTGTCAATATCATAGGGAAGGTGCACAAGGCTTTGAACGCTCTCGTTTAGTTCGGGATGAAGCTCGCAAGCCATTAATGGCGGCTGAGGCTTTCATGAGTCACGCATCAGTACATAATACACGATTAATTACATCATAATCACTATTACTACATACTATTCCTGCACATCTTGACACGATGACCGTTGTCGCAGATAAGGTTCTTCGAGAAATGATGCGCTCTTCTCATTTACCAATGATCATTGTCCATCGATTGACTCTGTTGTTCTGGCTCCTGAGTGGTCAACATGTGAAACTCGATCTATGAGATAACGCGCGGCATCACAGCGGAATGCAGAGCATCAGCCTTATCCCGGGCGACTCACGTCGGCGATACGATTTCCGATCTGTCACGCACAGTCTATCACGGAAGGTAAACTCAGAGATAAGTAAAATCCTAGCATGAAGCAGGGCCGAAGGGCAGCGCTTTACTGAAACGGACCCTGCACCCTGATGCGTTGCCAGAAAGCATCGTCCTAGCGACATGAAAAAGGAAATAATCAACAGCACCAGGGGTGGCCGGGACATTACAAGTCGACTATGCGGGCGATCGACACGCGCTCGCTAGCGCGTAGATCCACTTCGCAAGTGTGCGTTCCCTAGGCCGCGTGGGATGCTACCTACCACACTACACCTGGCGGGTAGCACAGCATCGTAGGCCGGCGGAACCATCCGCAAACTTGCTAGAAAAATTCGACACGGCGTTATCTTCGGTGAGTAGGATCTGTCTCAGCTGGTTTCTGCTCTCCGGAACGCGGACCTTCCTTTTTTGGTGTGAGCACACGAGTCAGCCCCTCGGATTTTGGAAAACGTGCGGATTTCACGACCCTTCGTGGCCTATCGCACGGATGTTCGGTATGAAATTCAACGTGCACGGACGGCCGCAGTTGACATGGCGGTCACTGACAGGTGTAGATGCCCAAGTAGGGCTGCCCCATGCGCCACACGTGGAAGGTTCTGAGGAAGGCCGTTGCCCGGCGGTACCTGGGTGTTGAGGGATCAGGGTGCTTTTGATCGAGCACGTCACGACGTGCGTCTGGGATGTGTATGATGAGGACGGCAACGTTACAAGTCGGCAGGCCGACAATTCAACATCCGAGATCAAGATAACGATCAACAGCCGCCCGCTTCGTGTAAGTGGTCCGGATGCCAGAAATGCGAACTATTGTATGCCGCCAAAGTTACCCGCTGCCAGCCTCGACTAGGGTCAACGCTTATCGAACAACTGCTCAGCGGGACGTACAGAACGCCACAAAAAGCATAGCTGACCCTTGGCATGCATGCGCCTGAATTGTGCTCGGAAGCTTGCGTTGCAACTAAGCTCAACGCTTCCCGTGCTCGGTAGGCAGATGCTGTGCTAGTCACGGAAAGAAAAGTCGCCTTCAGGTACGTGGTCGTTCTGGTGGCCAAGGTGCTGATCTCGGGTCTCCCACGGGGGGTCTTTGGTACGGGACGTGGTGCCACTGCCGCAAGTAGTCGCCAAGGGTCGTGCTGGTTTTGTTGTCTGTGTGGAATCAGAAGTCGAGGGTAAATTGCCTTGCTTGTAAGCTACTCTTCCTCTTTATCACCGAGATTCTCATCTTTATCGCGGTATCGAACAAGATGTCTGCAACAATGGAGCCTACCCTTTCATCCAAACTCAAGGCTGTCTTCCCCTCGTCGTCGACCGAGCAAGGAACGACAACCCTGTCGGCTGACCAGAACTACCTCATTGGGCTTCGTGGCCTGCTTGTATTCCAATCGTTCCTCTACGTGTTCTTCCAGACCTTTCTTCCAGCCGCCCTTCCAGACTCGAAGAATGTTGATGGCCCGGCGTACCAGGTCGCACTTCGAAAGTCATTTTCAGTTATCTTCGCCAACGAGGCATTGATCTACTCATGGATTATCTTCCTCTCCGCGCGAACCATTTGCTTGCCATACCTCGCCAACAAGACGCGTGAAGTCGGCGCATCCAGTGTCTTCCGCCGTGGTATCAGGTTATGGGTTCCGACTTTCATCGCCTACTCTTTTGCGGCAGCGGCATTCAGCACAACCTCGACCGACTACATCTCCGACTTCTTGGCCTCTACTGGCAACATCTCCACCATCGCACCGACGCGGATCCAGAGCTTCTTGATTTACTTCAACTCGCTTTTTGAGATCTTCTGGGTCAACAAGCGATACGCTAGTCAAGCCGCCAACGATGTCTTCCCATCTGGTACGCTTTGGATAGTGTCCGTGCTCTTCCAGCAAAGCTACACCGTCTACATCACCATGGTCATTGTTCCGAATACACGCACCTCATGGCGAGTAAAGGCTATGCTAGCTTTCATCGTAGCTGCGTTCTGGGTACAGAGCTGGGCCTGGTACAGCGTCACCGGCCTAATCATTGCGGATGCGGTCCTCAACATGGACTTCAAGGCCCGGTCCCAACGAGGATTTAAGATCGGCAACTTCGGTATCCCAGTATGGCCACTTTACGCTGCGATGGTCCTTACCGGTGTTGTGCTGCAGTTCGTCTTCATCTCCGGAAAACCAGGCATGCGCGACAATGAGCTATGGGGTCACACCGCGCTGTACGATGACGGATTCTTGAACGAGAACGTAGATCTAGACCAGCCGATGGCGAGGGTTGACAACTACCTCATCATCCTTGGGTCGATGCTTCTGATTGAGACGTTCGAACTGCCCCGGGCTATCCTTCGCGGAGGCTTCTTCGTTTCGCTAGGCAAGAGGAGCTTTAGTAAGTCGCAACCCTTCGACAAAGTCATTGAACAATTACTTACACATCCCAGGCTACTTCCTCGTCCAATCGATACTCATCTACACCGCCGGTATCAAGTTATACACGCACATGGCCGACGCCGGCATGAACGGTTCTCTGAGCACTTTTGTCTGCTTCTTGGTCTGCGCACCGCTGGTCGCTATAGTTGGAGAGATTTTCTACCGTGTTGTTGATTTGCCGAGCATTATTCTGGCTAGAGGATTTTGGGCGTTCATGACGAAATAGGTGGCGGCAACGGCGCGCTACCGGCACGTGGTTCGGGCCATCGTCAGCCACATTTCTTGACATCTCGCTTACCAGCCGCGCAGCTTGTCTCCTCATTCGCACTGCTCGGGGAAACATTATCCGTCACATCGCCCTTGCACAAGACATTTGGCGAGAAGCTCACTGGTCAACAAGCCTTTCTCCATAGCTCGGCATGCTCTTTGGAGATATCCCCGCAGCATTGGTGATCCTTCGAAACTTCCCCGCAATGTGGAGAGACTTTAGCCTATGAACATTGGCTCGGGAAGATGTACAGTTGCTCGGACGTGGGCGTTACACTAGCTAGATCCTTCGGTGTTGTTAATCTGTATTCTATTTTCTGTTCGCATTCTTCTCCTGTTGCTGCCGTGAAAGCGCGTTCTACCGTGACTAGTCTACCAACCAGCCACAATGGATAAGCCCAAGGAAACAGACACTGAACGCATCGAAAAGGCGATCACACTCGATGAGACGATCGATCAAGCCCTGGATAAGCGTCTGAATCGCAAATTCGACCTCCGTATTCTGCCTTGGTTGTTCGGGATATGGTATTTTGCTACTCCACACTGTTCACGGCCTATACTGAGTGAGAATTCTAGGCTCTTCTCGTTCATAGACCGCAGCAACATCGGCAACGCAAGGATAGCCGGCCTGTCCGATGAACTTTCTATCACAACCGGTACACGTTTTAACATCGCTCTCCTCGTCTTCTACATCCCGTACATCCTGGTCGACGTACCGTCTAACCTACTCGTTAAGCGTTTGCGCGCCGGGATATACCTACCAGCTCTGATCACGGCATGGGGTCTAGTGTGCACGTTCATGGGCTTCGTGCAGTCATTTGCAGGGCTGGTGGCATGTAGACTGTTGCTGGGATTATGTGAAGGAGGCATTCTCGGTGGCGTGATCATCTACCTTGCGATGTTCTATAGGCGAGGCGAGATGCTGCTGAGAAGCGGTCTCTTTTATTGCGCCGCGCCTCTATCTGGGGCTTTTGGTGGACTGCTCGCTTCGGGACTGGCAACCATCGAGGTTGGGGGGTATCGAAGATGGCCATGGATCTTCTTTAGTAAGTTCTCGCTAATGTTTCACGTTGTGGAGATGTCGCGCTGACATGATCTCAGTCGAGGGCGCAATCACTGTTGTGTTCGGCATTGTATGCTTCTTCTTCATGCCGGATACCCCCGCCGCAGCAGGATTCTTGAGTGATGAAGAGAAGGAGTGGGCATTGCGACGCATGAGGCTTGATGCAGGAGGATCCACCGAAGTTGATGTTGACGATGAGAAGTTTAGTTGGTATTGGGTCAAAATGGCACTCAAAGCCCCGCAGACGTACCTTTCTGCCTTCATCTGGTTTTTCTTGTTGGTGCCGCTTTATGTAAGCTCCTTTCGGATCTCAAACGCCGGAGACTATGCTAAAGCTTGACAGAGCTTTTCGCTGTTCCTTCCTAGTATCATCGCCGGCATGGGCTATCAAAGCACCACCGCGCAGCTCTTTACGGTACCACCTAACATGGCTGCTTTCATCACGGTCATTGGCACGGCATACGCCTCCGACAAGTTGAAGAATCGCGGTTATTTCATCATAGGAGGTTGCGTGATAGGGATATGCGGTTACGTTATGTTGATAGTGGCCACGACGAATGCCGTGCGGTACGCCGGGACGTTCCTGGTCGCGATCGGTGTCTTCCAGGGTTCGCCCATGCTTATGGTAAGCTTCGCCCGCGAACCGAAATGCTTACTTTACTCATCTGTCATCAGGGATGGGCGTCCAACAATCTTGCGCCTCACTATGTCCGCGCAGTCGGAATTGGCATGGTAATCAGCATCGCTAATTGCTCGGCCTTCATAGGCACGTTCATCTATCTTCAGCGCGATGCGCCGAAATATGTTCTAGGCCATTCTGTAAGCCTTGGTGCATTGGTAGTGACGATCGTACTCGCCGCCATACAGTGCTGGTACCTCGGCTGGGAAAACAGAAAGCGAGAGAGAGGTGAACGGAATGATAGACTGCTGCGAGCGGATGCGGATAGACTTGGCCATCAACACCCTAGTTTCAGATTCACGTTGTAGCCGGGAGGACATGGTAGCCAAACTAAGCCTTGGTGGTGGTCCAGGGTGGGAGCTGATAGGAACACTACATTAGTACGTCGTCTGAACGTAGAGAAGTCTACCGCCTAAGACATTGTGACACTGAGTCACTTGGCTTTCTTGTTGTCTCTTCCCCCAATCATGCCCTTTTGCTTTGTAGTGTTTTTCTTCCACGGTGTCAGACTGCCGCCTCCAGCCACCCAGCCGATTGCCATGACGATCAACGTGAATGGCACGGCCGTCAGGAAGTACCAACCATACGTCGTCTTCAATGCTGAAACACTCTCGTTCATGCTATACAGCCCAGATATGAACGTCAACGGGATAAAGATGGTCGCCAGCCATGTTATCCTCGCCATGTTATGGTTCTCCTCGAGCCCGCGACGCGAATCTTCGATGGAGATCTCCGATGTGACAATACTAGTCAGGCGGTCAACTCGCTCCTGTAGTTCATTGACAGCGGCAAGGACGCGTTTGAAATCAGGCACTATGTCCTCGAACCCTTCGACGTTATCGTAATTTATGGTCAGGTTGTCGGAAAAGAGTGAGCGTACGGAGAGAGGTGATGTGGGCGCAGCGGAGGACTGAGTAGACGGGGTAGTAAGCCGCGCTGCAGCCGGAAGCGCATGTTCCAACGTCTCCGTTATCATCTCCCGAAACACTGGGATCTGCCGCCGCCAGGTATGCAGACGCTTGAGTGAAGTGTCAATGGCATCACCTTTCGAGCGGAAGAGGCGTGGCATCTCGAGTTCCCACTCTATCTGGCTGAGACGAGCTCTTACATAGTCGCACACTATGAGCCACTCTGCGCAGATGGTGTATATAGTTGGTTTGGCGAGGACTTGCGCGTTAATCTCATTTCCCTCTTTCCGCTCAAACCACGGGAAGGCAGTCGTCATTTGGACAATGTCTTCGAACCAGGATACTGAAGACTTGATTGAGGGGTAAACTTTGGTGTCCATCTTGGGTGTTGGCAACCAGTTACTACGATCATACCCTTTACAGTATCAGTAAGGCAATTCAGTACCTCAGCTACTGTCATGTTGCGTTAGTACTTACAGAGTGGCCGGCCTTGGCTAACAGTTGGATCTAGCAAGACGATACCGACGGTTCCATTACCACACTTCTTGTCCTTGCCGATCCACATGGATGTACGCGTGCGCATAATGGACACGACTGCTCCCTTTCCATCTTGGTAATGCCAATGGTTCTCATCGTTATCAGGCCGTCTGAGTACGTTCCAAGAGTTTGCTTCCAGCCTCGAGTTGAAGTAGTCCTCTTCTGTTTTGTGGTATCGTAACCTCATATTGCGCATCTTGAACCAGGGCCGATGTCTCATACTTGAGACTAGGCTGGGTGGTGACGCCCAGGGGTCACGGGTGTTGTGCCATACGTAGTCATCGATCTGCTCTCGAAAGAACAATGGATCTATATCGAAACGCGCTCCCAGCAGCTCAATGACTTGTTGAGATAGGTCTTCTACTATGAAGAGGCGCAGGGGAGGTTCTTTCGTATGCTCAAACGACAGAGCTTGAAGAGTTTCTTGAAGCAAAGCAGGCGATTTAATCGCTGTAGCTTTTGGTGCAGTGGCAGGACGATACTCGACGAAGGTGACGTTTGTCTTATTCGCACGGGCTTCGCGTTCCTCTGGGTGCTCTTTGATCTCATTCCAGCGTAGTGGGGTAGTGCTAACCTGCATCCAGTCCGCTAGATGTCGTAAAGTCCTCCACGAAGTCGACAGCGATTTGATGTGCGCCAAATACGGCCGGCTCTTGCTGTTGCTGCATTACGTGAGTCTTGACCTGGAAGACTGTCAATGCTGTGAACTTACGGGTCCGGCAATTCCCACTCGTCTGCGACTGGTATCCTCTCGTATGCATCTCCAATCAATTCATATGGGTCAGGGAAGTCTGCACTGTGCGGAATATGTTTCGCAGACCAAAGTGCGGGGATCGTGCCTCTCTTGGAGGGTTTGCCATTGCTGTTGTCGGAGTAAGTAGACATGGTCGCTACCTAGGTACGGACACTGACAACGCGCAACCATGCCAGAGCGGGTGGCGAGATGGATTTATAGATGGGCAGGCTGCAGGGCGATGTTGGGGGCTGAGGGCTGAGAAGGCTGAGACTCAAGCGCGACGATCTCTAGTTGCATCAGGGGGGCTCATACATACGCGAGGTTTCCAGCTATGCACACCCGCGCACCTGTATGCGGGTGTGGAGAACTAACAGACATTCCAGGCGTTCCATAATCTTTCTGCAGTCTTGATCGAGTAGATCAAGACGCGTCAAGAAGTCGTAGGGATATCGCGTTGGCTGAATCTCGAATTTGGCGCGCCGTCAGCTGAAACGTGCAATGACCAATTTGGGCTAGACGTGAAGTTGGGTCCGACAGCTGCAGACAGCCACAGGGCTAAGCAAGTCACGCGGCTAATGCCAGCTCATATTGGACCTTTCCAGAGATGACTGCATTACGCGACAGGCGGCTACTGCGTTGTCGGAATATCGTTGGACTGTGTGGTATGCGCCTGGGGCTGTATGTTGACGGCTGCTGTCACGAAAGTTGAAGAGGGAATGACTCCACGGAAGTGGTTCCACCGCAGCAGCGCCGCCTGCCATCTCGGTCTCCGGTCATTTCATTCCTCAAGACGCCAACAACCTACATCAGAGCATCCCTTTCAGTTCATCACACGGCATTGCCCCACGTGGAAGGCTATAATGAGGCGTTTCTGGGCTTACTCGCGTGCGCGATGTCAGGATCGAATGTGGAGAGAACGCGGGGCGCGCAGTACACCTCGGAAGCCCATAAGTGCCATAGAAACGCAACATTGGCGGAACACTTTTGTGTAGTCGCGCCCATGTCTCGATATCTTGCGGGAAATCTTTAATACTCTGTAAAATCTTTTCGTTCAAATCCCGATATGACATACGGCATCTTTAAACCTCACTGGTCCAGATACCTAGGCCCTGACGCTCCAGATCCTGCCAAAGACACCTATCGACCTCACGACGAGGCTGTATTTTCGTCGCCATATGGACCATTCCCACCGACACCAGACGATCTCAACATCCACGAACTCTGCTTTCCGTCGAACAATCCATTACCCGAGGACTACCCTCTATTCATCAACGCTGTAACAGAAGAAGTGGTTACACTCCACAGCTTCTATGCTCGAGTGTGTGCATTGGCGCGTGTCTTCCGGTATGACGGACCAAATCCGTTAGGCTTAGACAAGAGCCCCATAGACGACAAGGAAGATGGCGAGATCCTAGCGCTATTCTCGCGGAATCAACTGCATTATCCAATGGTTGCGCACGCATGCTTTCGATCGGAGCTGGTATTTGGGGGCATCAGTCCCGCGAGTACACCGTACGAGCTATGGTGGGTGCTCAGAAAGATGCAAATTACCAGCATCATGTGTCATGAGACACTACTTCCTGTTTTGAGAGAAGCGCTAAAGCTAGGGACTGGTGACGGCGACAATCTACCCCTCAAGCTCAAGTTGAATCCCAACAAAGTCATCGTGCTTAGCGACAATTCTCAACTAGATACCGTGTCGGGATATCGTACGATCGAGTCGCTCGTGAGGGAGGGTTCAAAGCTGCCGGAGCAGCCGCGGAAGCTGCTTGGGGGAAATCGAATGGCATATCTATTCCAGTCTTCAGGAACTTCGGGTCTACCAAAGGCAATGATGATCACACACAGTAATGGTTACCACTCTGGAATACAGACGCTTATTACTGCCACGCAGGCCGCGCGCTTTGCAGGAGACGAACCGTTGACACCCGTTACTATGCTCGGCGTCATACCAATGTACCACTCATACGGTATGATCATCTGGATCCTTCGCGTCAATATGATCAGACAGACGAGCATTATGCTGCCGAAATGGAACCTTGAGCTCGCATTGAAGAGCATACAAAAGTACAAGATTACACATCTTCCACTGGTGCCACCTCTGGTTCGCCAACTCGCCCAGAGTCCATTGACTGAGAAGTACGACCTGAGCTCTGTGATCGGCGCGTCGAGCGGCGCTGCATATCTGCCACCAGATGTCGCATACCAACTGGCCAAGAAGCTGCCTCAAGGTGCGGGGATGCCGGTGCCAAGTGGCTATGGTCTGAGCGAAGCAGCCAGTATCGCGAGCCCGGCTGCGCATGGCATATTTGGATTGGAGCCTGCACTACCCGGTATGATCGGTTATCTGCTACCGGGTATGCAGGCTCGGGTTGTAGACCCTGAGACACTTAACAATGTGCCCAAAGGCGAGAAGGGCGAGCTCTGGGCGCGCGGAGCAGTCGTCACCCCTGGATACTTCAGGGACCCGAAAGCTACTGCGGACATTTTCACTGAGCCTGGTTGGCTACGCACTGGCGATCTCGTGATGCGCGACGAGCGTGACCGTATCCACTATCTCGATCGCCTGAAGGAGATGATCAAAGTCAAAGGTCTCCAGGTCGCTGCTACGGAGGTTGAAGATACGCTGCTCGATCACCCAGAAGGTCTGGTGCGCGATGCGTGCGTAGCGGGTGTTGACAACGGCCGCGGCGATGGCTCTCTGTTCGTCCGCGCGTGGATTGTGCTGACCACTGAGGGCCAGAAGCAAGGGGAAGATGATGTCTCAAAGAAGCTGCATCAGTGGATCGAGGGACGTCTGAGCCGACACAAGTGGCTGACTGGTGGCATTGAGGTTGTGGATTCGGTGAGTACTCACCCAACGTGAGCTGCTAGTGCTAACGACTTTTCCAGATTCCCAGAACCCCCTCGGGTAAGATGCTGAGAAGAGAGATGCGGGACCGATATCATGAAAGCGTGAAGAACAGTAGCAAGGCGAAGCTGTAATTGTCAGCATGGATCGACCAGCCTGTGGCTTTGCTATGGACATCAAGACCTATGAGCTCGTCTTCAGATACAACTAAAGCGTCCCATGGTATGGTCTTTGTGCACACACGCTAATCGCATGTCTACTGAATGCGATCGTGGAATATAGCTGGATTGCAGCCATAACATGCTTGTCGACACTGGGATCGTCTCTGCGTATATGATTATTGCTTTGATCGTTGTGCTGGTGGAGGTTGGGAGGCTTGGCATCGGCTCTGGCGAGACGCGTCCACGGGTCCGTCCAACATTCACGCCCACTCATCAACTCCCCAACACACGGCAATCGCATCTTAAGTCCGCCACATGCCGCGACGCGGGCCGTCTGCTCCTTTAGGCACCGGCAAGACGATGGAGGGGCAAGAGTGGGGTTGAGATGCGGCGCTTTGCCCGAAGTTCGGTGGGCGTCATGACGTTGGAGCTCTGCAGCTCCAGCTACAAAGTCAATCGCCTGATGCCGCCAAGTGCTTCTCGTCGTTGAACCCAAAATCTCACCCTCAACTTACCAAGAGACTACGACAACGTCTATCTACACCATGTCGTCACCAAAGACCGTCCGCTGGGGCATCCTCGCGACTGGAGGTATCGCCGTCACCTTGTAACTACCCCGCGCTACACCCCGCAGAAGCTGTTTACTAATGGACAGACAGTACCAAGGATCTCCTTTGCGACCCTACTACACGTGGCGTCAAGCACCTAAAGCACACGGTCGTCGCAGCCGCCTCCTCGTCCTCCGAATCGCGCGCCAAAGATTTCTTGAAGGAAGTCGGCGCACCCTCCGAAGCGAAGGCATATGGCTCCTACGAGGAGTTCGTAAAGAATCCGGACATCGACGTCGTATATATTGCCACACCACACTCGCACCACTACCAGAATGCTATGCTCTGCTTGGAGGCCGGCAAGAACGTGCTGTGCGAGAAGGCGTTTACTGTCAATGCCGCCCAGGCGCGCAAGCTGGCTGAGGTCGCAAGGTCCAAGAACCTCTTTTTGATGGAGGCTGTATGGACGCGCTACTTCCCGCTCTCCATCTACGTCCGCGAGCAAATCGCCTCTGGTCGCATCGGACCCATCACACGCGTCATCTCGGACAACAGCATGGCACTCGACCCCGAGAACAACTTCCCAGACGGGAAGCACCGCATGGTCAACCCTGATCTGGCTGGTGGCGCCCTGCTTGACCTCGGTATCTATGCCCTTACCTGGGTCTTCCAGACCATCTACCACACCCAGCCCGAGAACTCGCGCCAGGCACCCAAGCTCCAGGCTTTTGTCAAGAACTACGAGCCAACTGGCAAGGCCGACGAGCACAGCACCGTAATCCTGCAATTCCCCCGTTCAAAAGAGCAAGGCGGCGAGGTTCACGCCGTAGCGACAACCTCGCTTCGCGTCGCCACAGCGCCCGGTGGCAACATGGATCAACCCTTCGTCCGCATCCAAGGTCCCAAGGGCGAGATCCAAGTCTTCGGGCACTCCTTCCGTCCCCTCTCCACCAAGATCATCGGTTCAGACGGCAAGGTTGAGTCGAAAGAATTCCCCATTCCGGGCCCAGGTAAGGGAAGCGGTTGGTACAATGGCTTCGGTGGCTCACTGCAATCAGAAGGCGAGGGCCAGGGTATGTTCTGGGAAGCCGACGAGGCGGCAGATGCTATTATCAGCGGCAGGAAAGAGGGTCGCTTCCTTGGCCTTGATGAGAGTGTGTTGATTATGGAGGTTATGGATGAGGTGCGGAAGCAGGGTGGGCTTGTGTACCCGGAGAAGATTGAGACTCTGGACTACCCTACGCAGTTGTAGGTCTAGCTCTATGAGTGATGGCTGGAGAAGTATGCTATGAAAGAAATGTAATAGATGTCAGGCAGTCACTGAAAATGACCCAATTTCGCCGATTCTTGTGCTCCGTGACAGCCGTCGATACTTCTTTTTGATAGAGCGCGCCTATAAAGAAGTGTGAACTCGGAAACGATCGCGACAACAGTCCAAGGGCTCATTACGTGGAAGTCTCTCGACATGACGGCGAAAAGCATGTATGAGCAAACATGTAGGTAGACATACCAAAAAAGATATGTCAAACAGTGGATAGGTGGCGGTGGATTCCTTAACGAAGTGTGAGACGTCTGCCCTGGGAAAGTGTTGGATCGGAGCAATCAATCAGCCTGCGTTTCCTCTCCAAGCGGCGCCCGTTCCCAGAATAGTGTTGTCCCACCAAACGATCCACCTGGCCGGAGGCTTCTAGATAAACAACCCACGAACATGTTGAGTAGAAGTATACTAATCCCACGTCCACCCGTTTCTTGGTGTGGAGACATGGTGGCGGACGTCATACACGGGTAGGTACCTCCGCTGAGGGTTATGGTCCCGCCGGCGAAGGAGACATGTCGCCATGATCGCGGCCCACGGTCGCTTTTTTGGATTCAGCAGAGATGGTAGAGCCGACACGAACGGGTGCGAAGGCTCATGGCTCTTAAACCCAAGAAGCAATTGAAGCATCGTCGTAGAAGTTTCCCAAGAGCAACCGCAGGTATCAACGCCATGTGTGTAGTAGCTAACCCGTCGGGATGTTTGAGCTTTCTCGGAGATGGACATATAGATGGTGGGTTGGATAGCGGCGCTATAATAGTCCGGTTCATATGATAATGAACGAAACCCCATCTATTGTCACACCGTCTGCCCAAATTTGACCTCTTCTGCAAACTCTCGATGACTTGGTTACATCGAGGGATGTGATGCTCGTCGCGAGGCTTGCAACACAGTGTCGCAGCGTCTTGTTGTCATGCCATCGAGTGCACATCAAGCCTTGATCCTGGCTTTGATATTCATCTCGTTGACATGGGTGTTGGGATCCAACTACGGCCTCAGGGTTGGGGGCTGGTCTCCTCTGTCGAGCCGTTGGGTATCTCTTATCGGTCAGGCAGTCGACTCCCGACCGGCCTGAATTGTCCGGTTGACGAGCTTGCGGCTTCTGCCTGAGGCACAACTTTCGTCTGGCCATCCACGAATCCTTGGTGGCTGTCTTCTAGATGCAGGGGCTGATTGGTATAAGGGCGCGCAGCAGGTTCGTGTGCTTAGCTATTGCTTGCGATGTCGAATTCCTCTCTTAGTTTTGGTAGTTGGAGAGATAGCGCGATTCGAACGTCCGACCGAGAGAATGTGATCGGAAGCATCGAGGGGTTGGAGATGGTTGGTTGAGCTAAGCAGAATAACGGCACCGGCTGGGTCGAAGTTCGTCGACAATTATTGCGTTTATATATCCAATTCATGTTTCTGTAGACAGCATTGGATGACTGCTGCTTTCATAGCTGATCCAAAATGCCCATGTGAATTTGGTGGAGGGATGGGTTGTTTGACGAGGGTGTGCGTGGGATGGTCGTACAAGATGTGCAGCTGCCGATGGACATGCATGAATGTGCATGTACGCGACGGTGTTGCGAAATCGACGTGTATTCTGGATTTGAAAGTATCAGCGTCCAATCATATATCGTTCTGTATTCGCTGAAGGGGTTGACTTTGCCATCTTTCAGGCTTCTTCCCACTCCCACTCCCGCTGCCGTTCAGTTTGGGGAATTTCGTATGACCTTTCACCACGTTTTCGGGCTGTTCTTTGCTAATGCTTTTCCATGAGCTTCCATCTCTTTACATTCTCGGCCACTTTTACCATACCGTTATTGAGCCTTGACAGAGTGTCGGACGACAGCGGGTCTGCCGATACCTCGAAGTAATACTTTTCGGGATGCAGGCAACGACAAGGTCAGGAAGAGCACCGCAGATGTAGACGTGGGATTGCGAAGTGTTCAAGCGTTGCATCAAGCCGACAGACAAGCGTCGCCTCGACACTGTGATGATAATGTCGCTACCATATCAGGTGTTGCAGACGAGTATGCATCTGCGCCTGTCATTTCATGTCCCATTCATGGTGCTTTGCGATGCGCGAATGGCAGTTTTCATGCTCCTGGCTTCTTGGTCGTACGACGCAATGCGTTTGTCTGTTTTCCGTCAAACATCACCGGGGGCCCAATGTTCTGCCAACATTCGGTCAAGACCGTCTGCCATGCCGTGCACCAAGTTGAGCATGCCCACAGTTGATAGACTTCGGTTGCTCAAAACATCGAGAGTGACGAGGACGACGAACTCTGCGGCGCAACTGACCAGGTCGTGCTGTTGCGGTCTGGCTGTCCAGTTTCAAAGAACCAAAGTGCGCTCTGGATCTCGTTACGAATCGTCGCCGCTATAGCATCTTAATTGTATAGGGCTCCTGAGATCGGAATTAGAGATCGAGCCAAGAGCGCGCCTCGGCCCGCAATGAGCGCAATCCATCGTGCATAACCAGTGATGGCGCCAATGCACGATTGAGGCGTGGTAGACTCGCTTGTCGAGCAAACGAGATCAACTTCAGCCCATGGAAGCTCGAACACAAATATTCCCATTCAGCAGCGCGACACCCCTCTCGCCTCAACGCCGTGGAATTCAGCTTGCAGGCTGTGTGAGGGTTTGACGGTACATTCATCGGCATTGTGATCGCTCACGACTTTCCAGAGTATGTCAAAGCGCTAGGAGTTTGAGTCTGCAGGATGCAAGCTGGGAAGAGGCTGCACCATGGTTTGATGGATGATCCGCGAAAGGTACATCCGTACGCGACGACACATCGCCTGGCAGGGAGTCCAGTGAGGTGAGTGTGCAAGACTGGAAGAGGCGGTGCTACAGCGATGACGCAGGGATACAAGAAGGACGTCTACACTGCACATGTCAGCCAAATACCCGTTATATATCCTTCGAGGCCTGATATCTTTTAACCTGCCTGTTGTTCGCGTACAACCACCAGGTTCGGCAGTGGCTTCTTTGGGGTCTGACGTCATTGCCACCACGATCGCAGGCACCACGACGACAATCCTTCGTCTTACCTTTCGTGCTCATTCGCGCCTATGCTAACGCGTACGGGGAAGTCTGTGCCAGCGTGGGGACCTTATTTCGTA